GGCTAGATGTAACAAAAATAAAAGGTGGCATTTCTAGAGACTGCATCCTGAAAAAACCAGGCAGGAAAGCCAATAGAGACTAGCTAACAAAACACAAACATGAGAACTTGGATCTCTGAGTTCAAGGACAGCCTCATCTACCAAGTGAGTTTCAGGACAGCCAGGGCTACACAGAGGAACTCTGTGTCAGACAACAAGCAAACAATAAAACAAAACATGAGAGCTCAAAAACCCCAGAACCTGGTCATTTACAGAGGGCTACTGCGTGCAGGTATGTCAACAGGTTAATTCTAAAAACACAGTTTCTCTTAAACTCCATGACCAAAGAAGCGTGTGCAGGAAAGGTTTATCTAGCTTGTGCTTCTAAATAACTATTCATCACTGAAGGAACTCAAACAGGGTAGGAACCTGGAGGCAGGAACTGATGCAGAGGTCATGGAGGGATGCTGTTTACTGGCTTGCTTCCCATGACTTGCTCAGTCTGCTTTCTTATAGAACCCAGGACCACCAGCCACAATGGGCTGGAACCTCCCCATCAATCACCAATTAAGAATATCTCCTAGGCTGGAGAGATGGCTCAGTGGTTAAGAGCACTGGCTGCTCTTCCAGAGGACTTGAGTTCAATTCCCAGCACCCACATGACAACTCACAGCTTTCTTTAACTCTAGTTCCAGGGGACCTGATACATATGGCAAAACATCAGTGCATATAAAAATAAATAAATTTAAAAAAATCTCCTACTGGCTCGCCTACAGCCAGGTCTTATGGAGGCTTTTTCTTAATTGAGGCTCATACCTCTCAGATGATTTCAGCTTGGATCAAGTTGACATAAGACTAGTCAGCACACTGTTAAACCAGAGGAGAACCACTGTGATCAGAATAAAAATAGGAATCACTGAGAAAAGACCACATTCTGGTTGAAGGCAAACTGTCCGATTTCAGCAGGGCTTGAATGGTGTGGCTGCTCAGGTTGGCTGGGGACGCACGGAGAAAGAATTCACTGCTGCAGTAGCTGCTGCAGTAGCTTTACTTTGTGCCTGTGTCAACACTACTCTACCCACACGGTTACCAATTCAAAAGCACACTGACTATTTCCTCCTACATGGCATTAAACCGGATCTATTACCTCTAAGCCTCCTGCAGTGGCTACCCCTCTCCTGCTCCCAAGGGGCTTCTCCAGAACTAGGGTAAGAACATGGGACCCTTGTTCATGCTTCTCACCACTCACCCCCAAAGAGGTCTCCAAATGTGGTTATTTTATGGATCTCGTGCTTCAGGAAAACTGCTTGTGAGTATGGCATATTACACTCATTTCTGCTCCCTTCCTTAGCCAGGTTCCTGAAATCAGTTATCCCTTCAAGCTCACAGGAGAGAGCTAATTTTTATGACAACATATGAGGATTCAGTTGTGAGAACAGTAACATTTTTCATAAGAGATACTTATAACATAAAAAAACGATATTGATTATCTAGATAACCTTAAATACATATAACACCTTTTACATAAGCTCCTTTTATTTTACTTTCAAATCTGCCTAGAGAATCCTATGGACTAGTAAATTATAGTATTTTTTAATTGAGTAAATCAGTAAACATTTTTAGTTTGTTGTTATTCTTAATTACTAAAATGGCAGGTGTGATGGTGTATACTTGTAAACCCAATACTCGGGAGGCTAAGCTAAGGCAGAAGTAGTTCAAGATCACTATGGACTACATAGAAAGTTTTAGGTCAGCCAGGGCTACATAAGAAGAGCACTTCCCCCAAAAAGCAATACTGATAATAATAAAATGAAAAGACACTCTGGCTTTTTGTAATGTAATATTGAACAGCCATATACAATGGCTTAGATAGATCACAACACTGACTGAAGAGATCCCCCAAAGACAAAAGGATGTAAAGTCCACTTAATGTTCTCAAAATGAAAGTATGACAGGAATGCCCATTAGATGAGTGGTCATTAGGGTATGGGGCAAGAGATGGTGGCTATGGCTGCTGAAAGTAGTAGGAGGGATTCCTAAGAGCTAGACAAGCCTGGAACAGATAAAGGCAAAGATGCTATACACACTTACTCACCTAGGGCTCGCACAACTAGGCAAGTTGAACAACATCCCAAACTTGATTCCTGACAACTTTCTGCTTATATACAGACCAGAGGGCAAAATACTGTTCCTGGAGAAACCAAGTGAAGAGTCTCCTCCACCTAATTTCTCTTATTAGACTTAAAGCCATGCTGGAATCTACAGTCAGCACAAAATGAGTTTTAAAAATATTAGTTATTAAAATTTTAGATTTATTTATTTTGTTATTTTCTGTGTATGAGTGTTTTGCCTGCAGGTATGTATATGTACCACATGTGTGTCTGGTACTCATGGAGGTTGGATGTGCATATCAGATCCCATGGAACTGGAGTTACAGATGGCTGTGAGCTGCCATATGGGTGCTGAGAATCGAACCCAGGTCTTCTGGAAGAACAGCGAGTGTTTTTTAACTGCTGATTCAACTCAAAATATTAAGCTCCCTACAGTTTTACATTTGCATGAGGAAACTTTGACTTTTTTCTTTTTTTGTTTTTCTGATTTCTTTCTTTTTGAGACAGGGTCCAGGGTTGCTCTGTGTAGCTCTCATTATCCTGGAACTCATTCTGTAGACTAGGCTGGTTTCAAACTCAGAGACCGCCCCCCTTCTCTGGAATTTAAGGTGGGTGATTACTTTTTTTTTTTTTTTTGGTTGAGGAAAAAACTTTCTGAGAGTCAAATCTATGGCTACTATTCATTTAGAACAGCAACACCAGTACTTCCAGTAAAAGGATCACATAATATTTCAGGCATCATAATTCATTTCTATCATCTCAGCCACGAGCTTAAGTACAGCCTGAGAAATATAACAAGACTGACTCAAAAACAAACAAAAACAAAAACCAAATCCCAGCACTCAGGAGGCAGAGGTAGGTGAAGCTATGTGAATTTGGGCCAGCCTGGTCTACATAGTGAGTTCCAGGACAGCTAGAGCTACATAGTGAAACCCTATCTCACTATAAAACAAAACAAAACAAAAAAATCATAAAATCTACTTCAAAACTTATTAAGAAGAAAAAATCTTTTTTTTTTTTAGTATCGAAACACTGTGCTAATACATAAGTCAGGCTACTTTCAAACTTCTCATTCTCCTACCTCAGCCTCCAAGGTAGAAGTTCTTTATAAGACAGTATTTGAGGAAGCTAAAGAGGAAGAGATGGATGAGATAGCAAAGAAAAAGTCTCAATGGGAAAAGTAATTACTGAATTTGACCCTCTGGTTTAAAGCCTATTATTTATTTGCTTAATTTTGAGACGTTCTCACTACGTAGCCCTGGCTGACATTGAACTCACATCTGTCTCTGCCCTCTAAGTGCTGGGATTAAAGGTGTGCACCACCAACAGCAAAGCCCGTTTTAAATTCTAAAGTACATAATGTGGAAGAGGACTAAGATGTCATGGGTCCAAGAAAGACGAGAAAAAGAGGCTGAGCAGTTATTTGCCTTATAACCTATCAACAAAAGCGTCTTGAAGGTGTCCAAAGGGTTGTTCAAATAGTTACTTTATTTGTTCCGGAGGTACCGATTCAAGTCCACAAAGAAAGGAGACAACGCCTACTCCCTAGCCAGCTGCTAGTGTTTTTTCTTTCTGCAGTCAGGGAAGCCAAGGAGGAGAACAAGACTGTAAAGAAAGAGTCCCTTTCATCAGCAGGAAATGTTTCTCTGGTAAGTAAGCAAGTTTACACTGCGCCCCAGATAGATGAGCTGGATGCCGAATGCAAAGCCACTAGGATCTACGTGGTCCTCCCTTCCTTCCAGAGTTGGCTGATGCTAAGAACAGCAGCAAGAGGCTGGAGCCAGAGGTTAAACCTACTGTGCTAGAGTGACCTTTCAGGTTACTTTCAACTTACTTGAACACACACACACACACACACACACACACACACACACACACACAAACCTACTGTGCTAGAGTGACCTTTCAGGTTACTTTCAACTTGAACACACACACACACACACACCCTCTAAATTAAGACTCCCTCGAGAATAGGTCGACCATCTCAGTTGCTTGTTGACGAAGACACCTCCCATGCTGTTTAAGATTAAATCGAGTGTTGCAGGGCACCGCACTACCTTATGAGAGACATTCTCGGGTGTCCGTTTCCAGATATACCTTTAAAAAGAGGCTATCTGTCCCACTACCTCACAAGGCAGGGCCCAGCAATTCAGGGACTAGCAAAAACGGGAGGCTCGGAGAGCTGAACCCTCGAGTCTAGGTGAAATCTTGGAAAGAGGAGCCCCTGCCCCCCGCCCCGCGCCTGAGGAAAGAAGCCACTAGAATGGGGAACTTCCCGAAGGAACCCCCCCCACAGGAAAGTGGACAAAAGCAGCCCCCAAGGGAGCACCCACTTTTGGATGAGCCAAACCATGAATGATCCCCAGATAGGAGTCCCCAGGATTGCGCTCTCCGGATGGGGACCCGGTGGAGCGAGCCTCCCGCAGAGCTCACCCCGATGGAGGAGGCCGCTCTCTGGACATGAGACCTCAGCATCACTGTCCCCGGTCGGGAGCTCCCCTATGCACCGAGCAGAAGGACAGACGTGGGCCTGCCCACATCCCCTTTGCGGGCGTGGGACCAGGACACGGAGGACGGCACCGCCCTCTTCTGATTTCAGGCTCTTCTGACGTGCAGCTGAAAACTAGTAGCGGCCCCTTTAAGCAGGCTGCCGCTGGACAGCTCCATCGGCCTTTGCGCGGCGCGGTGTACACTGGAAATTGGAGTTTCTAAAGCCGCTCGGCCAATCTCCTTCCGGGGGGCGCGTAGCCTAAGAGGTAGAAAACCGCAACAGCCTCCGAAAGGGAGGTCACGGTTTGCCCAAAACGCCGTGCCCCGGGCCTGAAGGGCGCCTTTCTGGGCCGCACGCCGAGAGCCGGAGCCTGGGCGAATTTCTCAGTCTGCCAAAGTGAGCGTCAGTATACCGCGCCTGCGTAGAGGATCTGCTGCTGGCAGCGGCAGCATTCGCCTGCGCAGCGGAGAGCGGCGTGCGCTTGCGCAGAAAATTGAAGCCGCTTCGGCAGCGTTGGGGAGCATGGTAGGTGGCTGGGTTTGCGCTTGGCAGGTGCGGCCAGGGCCAGGCGCGGAGGTCAACACTCTGTGCTGGCTTCAGGATAACTGAACGGAGGAGGCCGGGTGCGCCCGCCGGGGTGTTGCGGGAAGGGCTCAGTTGACTCGGAGAGGCATGGCCCTGCCTGGAGGGTGTGAGGAGCCCAGTTGGGTCTCCGGGAGGTCGAGCGTGCCCCGGTCAGCCCAGTGCTGACCGGACCGGAGGGCGGGACAGGGCTGGGAGTGCGACGGGTGACACCTGCCTGATGGGAGGAGCAGATCCGCGTCTGAGTGGACAATGACGCCGACTGGGGCGGAGCTGGCGGAGCTGTGCAAACTCGGTCCGCGGAGGTTTAGGGAGGAGAGATGGAAGGAAGCGATCCCGGGGAGGTGGTGCGCGAGGCTCTGCAGGGCGAGGATGGTTTGCGATCCGCGCAGCTGGAGCCGGGAGAGGATGTCACCAGTTGTCCGCTCTCTTCCAAAGCCACGATCAGGCTGGGGATCCTGGAGACAGGAGAGACGGGCAGGACCCCGAGGGAGAGGAGAGTTAGACTAGTAGAGCTGTGCAAAGGACAACCCCATTCTCTGGACCTTGGGGTAACCGTACTCTGAGAGGCTGCGAGCGGATAGCAGCCTAGGAAGACAAGTTTTGTTTCTGTCCCTAGAGAGATGTCTGCTTGGAGTTTGTGTAGGGGAAAGTAGAGGGCTGAGGACTTCTTAGGGAGGCAAGAGGGGATGGAACGAGTACCGAGAAGGGCGAGGCTGGAAAACTAGAACACAGAAACCAAGAAATAATTCAGAAGAGCGGCCGAGGACTCTTCCGACCAGCGGCTAGCAGACCCAGCTGCCACCTATACATGTGAACAAGGAACTTGAGAAGGAAATGTTGGGAGGATGAAGATCCGGAAGCATTTGAATTTGATGACACACTCTCCAGGCCTGCACATGCCAAAGTACAGTCACCCTAAAGTGGGCCACAGGTTTATTTATTTGTCCAAACAGTTGTCCTGTGAATCCTTTGTAAGTTAACCTTAAGTGGAGGTATTTTGCTAAGTGTCCCTGGAAGGACATTTTACAGATGATTTTTAAAATCTTATATAGGAGCACCCTTGTGCCTAAATTTCTTGTTATTCTTCACAAGATAACACAAAGTGTTGGAAGCTTTTTCATTCCAGCTTTCGCTGTTCAGAAGGTCCCTGTCCCGTTTTCTGTGTATCTCACTGTTTATCACTGAAACAATTCTGAACGGCTACTGTTGTATGTGAGGCACTGTGCTGAGCTCCGTGGGAGACTATGAAAGCTAGTCAGTGGCTTCAGGTGTTTTTAACAGTGGTCTACTGTAAATGTGGTTTTGAAACATCTGAAAGCGGTGCAGATGGGCCATTGGAAATGTTAGGCAGAGCATGCACCCAAAAGGGTGTCCCTGAAGGAGTTCCATTAGTTTCTTCTTGAGATGGTTTTCTTAGAATGAAAATCTTACTGCAATTTAGTTGACCAGAAGGGTTAACACAAGTTAAATCTACCACTATGGGCTGAAGTGATAGCTCAGCAGTTAGGAGTAATTGCCCCTCTTCCAGGGGCTCTGAGTTCAATTTCCAGGATCAGCATCAGGCTGCTTAATTGCTGATTACTCCAGCTTCGGGGCATCTGATGCACTCTTCTGGCATCTATGGAGCACCTGTGTGTGTGTGCGCGTGCGCGTGCGTGCGTGCATGAGTGTGTGTGTGTGTGTGTGTGATTCAGCATGGCGCCTCTTGTGTGTGTGTTCTTCAACATAAAACAAATCTCTTTTGAAATGTCTTTTCCAGGAATAGTTCTAATCATAACAGCCAATTCTTGAGGTCATGTCATCTGGACTCTCCCAGTTTTTATTTCAAGAATTTTGTACATTTTAGGGGCCAGTGAGATGGTATTGCAGATGAGGGCACCTGCCACCAAGTCTGATGACCTAAGTTCAATCCCCAGAATCCTTATGGTGAATAAAGAAAACCAATAGTACAAGTTGTTTTCTCCTATTCAAGTACTAACCAGGGCTGAACCTGCTTAGCTTCCGAGATCAGACAAGATTGGGTTTGTTCAGGTTGGTATGGCTGAAGACTACAAGTTGTTTTCTGACCTACACACACACACACACACACACACACACACACACACACAGCCGAAGACTACAAGTTGTTGTCTGACCTATACACACATGCACATGCACAAACACATTGAAGCACATGCACACAAAATAAATAATGTGAAAAACTTACACTAAAATATTCTGTGCATCTTAAACACTAAAATAATGAGACAGAAAAATTCCCTCTAGTACTTTGGTTCCTATAACATGCTAAGCTTTATCTAAAGTCTCTTGCCTGAGTAGATCTTGGCATGAGTTTCTCATCTGCTTACATGGATAGACTTGGAATGCTCTTATGTCCCTGTAAATTTTTAGTTTGTAAGCCATTTTTCTTAAGAAAGTTATTACCAATTCCCCTTTCTTCCCTTTGAACCTGAGTTCTCTTAGCTGTTTTGGTTTTTGGGTTTTTTTGTTGTTGGTTTTTTTTTTTTTTTGTTTGTTTGTTTGTTTGGTTTTTTTTTTTTTGGTTTGGTTTGGTTTGGTTTTTGAGAATGGGTTTCTCTGTATAGCTGTGCCTATCCTGGATCTCATTCTGTAGATGAGGCTGGCCTTGAACTCACAGAGATCCACCCACCTGCCTCTGCCTCCCAAGTGCTGGAACTAAAGGCGTGCACCTGGTTTCTCTTAGCTAGTTTTTAGCACAAAGCAAACACTCTTTAGATTTAGCTGTTTATTATTGGTTTTTAAAAGCATTTATTATTGGGGCTGGAAAATGGCTCAGAGCAGTTAAGAGGACCCAGGTTCAGTTGCCAGCACCCACACAGCAGCTCACAACTGTCTTCAGCTCCGATTGCAGGACATCACCCTCTTCTGGCTTTCATGGGCACCAGATGTGCAGACAAAAACATTTATGCACATAAAATAAAAATAAATCTTGTAAGAAATATTTCTTATTACGAGGCAGATATATGGAGGTCAGAAGACATCTGTGGAATCAGTTCCTCCCTTTGGCCTTTACATGGTTTTTGGAGATTGAACGCAGGTTGTCAGCCTTGTGTGGTGAGCACACTGAGCCCCTTTGCCAGGCACTTTGAAGGGAGGGTCAGATACAGGGAGGGTCTCTCTGTATAGCCTTGACTGGCCTGGAACTCATTATATAGACCAGGCTGTCTCTATCCTCTGCCTGTCAAGTAAGTGCTGGGATTAGAGGCTTGAACTGCCAGACAGGCATCAGGGTATCCTTTTTAACACCGAGGTCTGTAAGGGCTAACATCAAACCATGGCTATGCTACCAACGCCTTGCCCTTCCTTGGTGGATGTTGCTGCTGCTCCTGCTGGTCAAGCACCTTGGCCTTCCCTTGAGGTCTGCAGTTGGTGGGGGTATCCTATACAGACAGGCCAATTTTAATAGATTCCCCTGTCTGCAGGCTGCCCACTCTTTAACTAATGTGGAGGTCACTTAGCACCTCTTGAGTGCCTGGTGTATACTTGCATCTATCACATACGTTTTTGCACTAGATCAGTGGCTCTCAACCCATGGGTCATGACCCCTTTGGGAGTCAAACAACCCTTTCCCAGGGGTCACAAATCAGATATCCTGCATATCAGATATTTACATTACAATTCATAACAGTAGCAAAATTACAGTAATGAAGCAGCAGCAAAATAATTATATGGGCGGAATCACCACAACATATTAAAGGGTCACAGCATTAGGAAGGTTGAGAACCACTGCACTAGATAAAGCTGAGTTGTCATACACTGGAAAAGGCCTACAGAGGTGACTTCAGGAGTCATACGCTCAAAAACAGGCATCATCTTGTCTTTCAGACATCTACAGTTTCTTGATGTGTAACTGTGATATTACACTTGTCACATGGTGCAGCTGTTCCAGGGGCTATAACTGGTGGATTGTTTTATATGCTCTTGCTTCCTATGCTGATTTTGTGTGTGTGTGTGTGTGTGTGTGTGTGTGTGTGTGTGTGTGTGTGTGTGTGCGCCCGCGTGTATACAAATTTATAGTGATTGGCATTGTCCCAATATTGTGCAGCCATCCATCCCCTTTATCTAGTTCTGAAACATTTCATCACCTCCAAGAAAACCATGTACCCATAAGTATGTCCCAGTTCCTCCCTCCCCCTCAGCCCCTGGTATTCATTAACCTACAGATTTGCATATTCTGCACATTCCATATAGCATATAACATTTTCTATACAATGTGGCCCTTTGTGTCTGGCTCATTTCACTGAGCACAGTGTTTTTGAGAGTCACTCACATTGTGTCATTTGTCATTGTTTCTTTTTTATGACTGAATGATACTCTATACACATATACAAAGTTTAGTTTTATGGCCATGACAGAAGTTTTGAATCTAGCACTAATGACTATTTCACAGTAAAGATAACATGTCTATACTTAATAGGGGGCCATTTTGGCAGGGCAAATTTGTCTTTCTCTTAAGGCTTTTTAAGTATTTCTGGCTTTGTTAGTCTTCCCTTAGGGAGATTGTCAGATTCATAAAAAAGATTGTCAGATAACTATGATAGTGTATAAGATCTGTCCTAATTTAACTAAATTTGATCTTAGTCAAGAATGTATCTTGGACTCTTTGTCCTTTTTTTTTTAAAGGCTCAACTTTAAGGAATAGTATGTGGAATGTATTCCCCCAGAACCTATATTGGGATAGCAAATGAGAGCCAACAAGCCAGGCCTGCATAAAGTTTTATTTGCATGTACATAATATCTGAATTGTTGATTTATACTCTGTAAAGCAGAGTATATGTGAGAGACTGTATGATTATAGCTTGTGATATTCACTATCTATGCCTTTGACTCAGGAACCCTGTGTATTTTTAGTGTATAAGTAATAGTTTTCATCAGAATTTACCATGTCAGAAATTTAGATGAATATATACTCCTTTAAATTTTAAAATAAACATATTTTAGGATTTGTAACAGTGGGGTCTGGAGAGATGGCTCAGCTGCCAAGAAAGAGTACCTGGCTGCTCTTCCAGAAGACCTGGGGTTGATTCCCAGTACCCAGCTGGCAGCTGGGACCCCAGTCTTGGGTGTTCAACACCCCCTGCTGGTCACTATGGGTGTAGCACATACATGGTGCTCAGAAATAAAGTAAGCAAAACACATGGAAAGAATAAATAAAATGTCCAAAACCTTTTGAAAAAGAATTTGCAGCCAGGAGGTGGTGGCCACTGTCTTTAATCCCAACACTTAGAGGCAGAGGCAGGCAGATCTCTGTGAGTTGAAGGTCAGCCTGGTCTACAGAGCCAGTTCTAGGATAACCAGGGCTACACACAGAGAGACCCTGTTTTGGGGGGAAGGGGTTACAATAGTGAACACATTTTTATTGCCTCACATCTGTGAAAGTATCTTACTGTCCAGGATTGTAAGAGAGAAGTTCTTCTGCTCACTTCGGCAGCACATATAGTAAAATTGGAACCATACAGAGATTAATTAGCATGAAGCGTATGAGACTGGTGATATTCTAGAGTCTGTTTTGTTATTGTGAGCCCCTAAAGGGTCTCAGCACCCAGGATCTGCAGTGCCTACTCAAGCAGGCTGTATTTCACACTTAGCTCATTTGCCCACTGGGCCAACACTGGTGTTTTGACATGAGCATTCTTTTTTTTTTTTTTTTTTTTTTGCTTAGAGCGACTCCAGGGCGTGCTCTGTTGTGTGTTGGTATTTGTGTCTTTACAGGGGACATTGCACATGTCTTATTTCATAAGGGGCTGTAAGGACCATTTCCTCAAGATTGAGGCCAGGAGCACAGGTGGATCCATTTGGCAGATTTTTATATGTTATTACAAGAGATTTCCCTAACTCAGTCACATTTTCTTCCTTGCTGTGGCAGCTAGGAGGCTCAGAGCCTGCTTTTCGGCCCATTTTCAATTCTTGTATATGGTATGCATGTGTTTTATTCTAGTTCCATTCCTGCCTTTCCCCCTTTATGTCTTCACCAGCATCTTGCAATTCATTGTGTATTTCTGTAAGTTAAATTTTATTCTGTGTTGCTATAAATTCTCATCTTTATTTAGACAAGATGAGTGTAGTCCTCTTAAGTAAAAATTGTTCCTTTATTATTGAATAAAGCTTCTTGTTTAGAAAAAAGCCTCAGGATTGGTGATACACCGCTGTGGTTCTCCACTTTCATAGCACGCATGAGGCCCTGGGTTTGAGCCCCAGTACTGCCAAAGAAAGAAAGAAACCTGTATATCATGGACTCTTTTGATTTCTAGAAATGAACTAATTAATCACTTCTTACCTGAGAGAAGTAGCCGTGCTAGTCTGCAAATGTGAAGACACTGTCCTGTTTCACTATAAACTATATATAGCACCATCACTTGGCAGTGTTATTATTTATTACCTACCCACAGCCTCTGCCCTACTTTTCCTCTTACATACAGTAATCGTTTTCATTTCATCATGAACACTTTTTGTGCTTACTTGTGGCACTTGTGGCACTTTTGTAATTACCTCCAGTGTAACTCTTAGTTATTTATGTATTTCCATCAGCACAGTCCTACTATTAAACTAGGAAAAGCTGTGAAACAGTAGTGCTTCCAAACTGTCCATATTCTCCCTATTCACTAGAGCCTGAACTTAATGGAAGTTAGTGACTCTGCAGGTGGGCCCCTGGGATGGCATCAGGTACCTGTGTTGTTGACAGAGGACCAGATATTATGCTAATGTTTTAAAGGGAAAATAAAGCTATATTTTATACAAAGGGAACTGAGTAGATAAGAATATGTTTTTCTTTCCTTTTTTTTAATACAGGCTCACTACATAGCTCTGGCTGTCCTGGAACTTTCTTTGTAGACCAGGCTGGCCTCTGAACATCCACCTGCCTCTGCTTCCCATGTGCTGTGGTTAAAGGTATGCACCACCATACTTGGCTAGCTTGCTTGTTTATTTATTTACTTGCTTACTTACTTATTTATAGACAGAGTCTCCCAGTATAGTCCCTGACAACCTTAGACCTCATTGCATAGAAGCTGGCCTTGAACCTGTCCATAGTGTTCCTACCTCTGGCTCCCAAGTTCTAGGAGTACAGATGTGCAGAGCCACTCCTGGCTTGGAGTATATTTTCTATAAAAGATTGATTAAAAGTTTGGGAGATTAAAGTTTTATCTGTTACTATAGAGATGCTGTCATTTCCATTTCCAGAAGACTGCAGGCTTTTGAACTGATGAAGAGCAAGGTTTTGGTTCCTGCCATTCTGAAAGTTGAGTCCAACAAGATAAATAAATCCAGTTAAAATGTAGGTGTCAAGAATAGAGCATGCCAGGTGGTGGTGTTGCATGCCTTTAGTGCCAGCACTCAGGAGGCAGAAGTAGGTGGAGCTCTATGAGTTTGAAGCCAGCCTGGTCTAGAGAGCAAGTTCCAGGACAGGCAGGGCTACACAGAGAAACCCTGTCTCAAAAAAACAAACAAAAAGAAAATAGGCTGAGCAAACATGACTTCATTTGCTTTCCCACCTTTTTTTTTTTTCATCCCAAAGCATAAACTTAAATCAACTCAGAAGGACAAAGTCCGCCAGTTCATGTCATGCACCCAGACTAGCGAGAAAACTGCTATCTACTGCCTGACACAGAATGAATGGAAACTAGACGAGGCTACAGACAGTTTCTTCCAAAACCCAGAGGCCTTCCACCGAGAGTCTATGAAGAGCACTGTGGACCAGAAGAAGCTGGAGCAGCTGTATGGCAGGTACAAAGGTAAGGCGTGAAATGGCAGCAAAGCTGACCGAACATTCTGCAGTGATAAGCACGGGTGGCGCTGGAGGGATGAGCAGCTCGCATGATGCTAGTTGGATGGATAGCACGGATGGTGCTCATGGGTGGACAAGTTCCAGACGCCCTCCTCTGGTGAATAGTTCCAGGGCCCACTCTCCTTAGCAGAAAGGCTGGAGATTAACAGGCTTGCCTTCACCTAAACACTCAATCCCTGTCCTCCTGTGCAGTGAGTGCCATGCTGAGGACAGTTAAGCAGGCACCTACTTTGCAGGCTGTTGTGTCAGCTATGCTGTACCTATTAATGTATTCCCCCTCAAGCTCTTCTGTTCCTGCTGAAACAGTTTTTTGTTGGTTTGGGTTTTTTGTTTGTTTTGTTTGAGACAGGGTTTCTTAGTGTAACAGCCTTAGCTGTGCTTGAACTCACAGAGATCTGCCTGCCTCTGCCTCCCAAGTGCTAGGATTAGAGGTGTACACAGTCATTGCCCAGCTATTTATTTGTTTTTAAATAGAACCTTTGTCCCATAAGCATGGTGGGGGAAATAGTGCAGTTAGAAATGTCTACTTTCATTCATTTCACTTGTCATCAATTTCCCTTTGCCTTTGGGCATGGTGGAATACATATCCCAGCACTTGGGAAGCAGAGGCAAGAGGATTGCTGCAAATTCAAGGCCAGCCTAGATACACAGCAAAACCCTATCCTAAAAGACAAGTACATCAGAGTAGAGGAGTAGGGCTGGAGAGATGGCTCAGTGACAGCCAAGTGTGGAGACTGACGCCAGGAGCCCTGCTCCTGGGAGAGTAGACACAGAGGGATCCCAGGGGCTGGCTAACTCAGACAGAGCTTCATGCTCCAGGCTCAGTGAGAGGTCCTGTCTCATGAAATAAGGAGGTGGGGTTGGAAGAATGGTTCAGCAGATAAGACTTGCTGGTCTTACAGGACTGGGGTTTGGTTCCCAGCATCTGTGTGGTACCTCACAACCCTTTGTAACTCCAGTTCCCTCATCTGGCTCCTGCTGGCCACAGGCATGCACATGATTTAATATAAGCAAAACATTCATATACATAAAGTAAAAACATTAAAAACAATACATGGAGAGCAGTAAGGGGGTGTACCTGAGGTTGACTGCCAGCATCCACATACACATGCCCATGTATACAACACACAAATTTCTTTGCTAGCATCATTTATAAAAATCAGTGCTGTATATAATACTTGAGTTAGCAAAGGTAAGTTTTCTGTGAAGGACAGTCTTTATTTGGGCAAAGGAGATGGGTTTTTTTCATTTGTATCTTTGGACCAACAGAATTCACACATATACTATGATGATGTATTATGATACATATGTCATCAAAAATGACAAAATGTAGTTTCTGAAATCTTGCTGAAGTGTCTTTAATATAATCTACCATTTCTTTTTTCTTTTTTGTTTTTTCTTTTTCTTTTTTTTTTTTTTTTTTTTTTTTTTATAGACAGACTCCAAGTTCTTTTATTTCTAAACTAGACATGTGAGATAGGGAATGTGAATTTCTAAGCTGTTGAATTTGGGTGCCTAAGCTAACTAACTTGGGTAATTATTGTCCCACAGCATTAGAGCTAGCCAGTGAAATTACTTAAAAAGAAAACAACCAATCACTTCTGCTTTGGCAGAATATGAACCCTCTTCTTTCCCTCTCCACCCTTCTCCAGTGACGGAGCTGGAGATAAACCCAGCCTGTGCATGCGGAGCAAACATTTGCTACTTAGCTTCATCCTAGCTAGAAATTAGATCAGAGTTTTGGCTTTGGCTTTGGCTTTAGTTTGTCTGGTGTGGATGTTAGAACCCAAGCACACCATGCAAATGTCCCTCCACTGCATGTGTGTGCTCCACCCTTACATTAATTAATTAATTAATTCTTGATGATGACATCTCTTCACAAGAGTTTCAGTGTTTTGTTTTGTTTTTTGTTTTTTGTTTCCCTAAAATACAGAAACCTAGATCTTAAGGACACAACTGTTTTCTGGATAGATTTTTAATGCTCCATATTTGTTTCATACTTAATAGAAAATGGTTGTTCACTGATTGATAGAACTGTATAACAGAGTAGCATGATTCTAACGAGCTAGTTTAGGTTGCTTTTCAATGTAGTATGATGTTTCCCCCCCCCCCCCCCAATTTCAACAACAGATCCACAGGATGAAAACAAAATCGGAGTCGATGGGATTCAGCAGTTCTGTGATGACTTGAACCTGGACCCTGCCAGTATTAGTGTTTTGGTCATAGCATGGAAGTTCAGGGCTGCCACTCAATGTGAATTTAGCAAAAAGGAATTTGTGGATGGCATGGCAGAGCTTGGGTAAGTACAGTATTCTCAATTTAAACTTTTCAGAAGGAACAATACTTGGATCATTTTTCCATTACTTACAAGTACTCATTTCATATACATGTATTTTCTTTGTGTATTCTAAGCCATTGGTTTCTTTTCAAACACAAGTTTTTAATCTACTATCTTTATTCACAGTAAATCTTCTTATTCTTTTTTTTCAATCTTCTTATTCTTTAAATTTAAAAAACCCCTTCCATTGGATTGATGAGAGGAGATGGCTTGGTGGTTAAGAATTTGCAGTGCTCTTGTAGAGGCCATAGTTCAATCCTAGCTCCCATGTCAAGCTGTTCACACTCACTGCTTGTACCTCAGGCTCCAGGGGATCTGACCCTTTTGGCTTCCTCAGGTATCTGTATACATGCATACATGTACACATATGTATGTGTGCACACGCACATGTACATAATTTAAATTACTAAAAGCAAAGCTCAAATTTTTAAAACAAATATTCTTTCAAGTTTGAATTAACAGTGGATAGCAGGGGAAAATTTTAACTACTTATATTTTTAGTAAATGTATAATTTGTTATATGGTTGTATTAAATACCAATAAAATAGCATTTTGGTTTTTGTTTCTCTATTGATTAATGATTTAAGATGTTGCTTATTTAACAGAAGTAAATGAAAACACCCAAAAGAAATATTTTTAATTACTAAACTTATTGAACACCAGTGCTGGAGAGATGGTTTAGTGGTTAAGAGCTGTTCTTCCAGAGGACGTAGGTTCAATTCCCAGCACCCACATGACAGCTCACAACTATCTATAACTCAGTTCCAGGGGGTTCTGATACCCTCACATAGACATAGATGCAGACAAAACACCAGTGCACATAAAATAAAAATAAATCATTTTAAAAAACAAAATGCACTTAGCCAGGCAGTGGTGGTGCATGCCTTTAATCCCAGCACTTGAAAGGCAGAGGCAGGTGGATCTCAGTTTGAGACCAGACTGGTCTACAGAGTGAGTTCCAGAACAGGCTCCAAAGCTACACAGAGAAACCCTGTCTCGAAAAACTTAAAAAAAAAAAAAAAAATTGAGCTACTTTGTGAGGTGGTATAAAGGTCAGCTCGTTCTACTTGCCAATACTTCTAACACTCTGATTCACTGTTGATGCTTTAGAATCAATTGTTTTGAGTTGCTGAAAAACTGAAAACCTGTAAAGTTGTTCCTAAAGCTCACACTTACATCACTAATTTAATTTAAAAAATGCCCTGCAGACTTGCCTACAACTGGACCTTATGGAGGCATTTGCTCAATTGAGGTCCATTCCTCTCAGGTGCCTCTAGCTTGTGTCAAATTGACATAATAGCTAGCCAGCACAATGATCAAGACAGTGCTGGCGTTAACAATGTGTAGAGCTCTGCTTCTCAGATGCTCAAGAAAGAACAATGGTGAGCAATTAACAAAGTTATCTATCATAGTTAGGGTCTCTGTTGCTGTGAGCAAACACCATGACCAAAAGCAGCTTGGGGAGGAAAGAGTTTCACTGATGGAAGTCAGGGCAGCAACTCAAGCAGGGCAGGAGCCTGGAGGCTGGGCCCGAAGCAGAAACCATGGAGGAGTGCTGCTTAATGGTTTACACCCCATGGCTTGCTCAGCCTGCTTTCTTATACCATGAAAACCACATTTCTGGGGATGGTGCCACATCAGTGGGCCCTCCCACATCATTCACTAACGAAGACAATACCCCACCCACTTGCCTACAGGCCATCTTAAGGAGGTACTTTCAGAATTGAGAGTCCCTCTTCCCAAATGATGCTGGGTTTTGCCAAGTAAACATAAAACTAGTAAGCACAATATCCATCCATCTCTAAGTAGAAAAATAGAACTGGGAAGTCGGGGTAATAGTGAAACTGCAGGTGAGAGCCCTTTAAAGCTGCCTGCTGACAAAGGCTCCCACCTCTTAGAGGATCTGACAGATGAGAGATGTGAACCAGCACTTCCTGAAAGGCTGAATCAATGTTTAAAACAGTACAGCCTGGGCAAGGTGGTGCACTCTTTTAATCCCTGCACTTGGAAGGCAGACACAAGTGGATCTCTGTGAGTTCAAAGCTAGCCTGATGTATACAGTGAGTTCCAGGACAGCCAATACTACATAGAGAGACTCTGGTTCAAAAACCAAACTAAACTTGAACAGTTAAAGTTAAATGCATAAGTAGTAAGTCTTCTTTCCCTCGTTGCTGTACAGTGGTGGCGATGGCCTAGGCTGACAGGGTGTCCCAGCTCTGTGGTCAGAGAATGAACATGGCCTCATTGTGGACAGAGCTGCAGCATGAGCCACACCCTTTAAAGAGTACACACGTTTTGTTTGGTTTATCCTAACTTTACAGCATGTACCGCCAGGTGATGGTGGCATATGCCTTTAGTCCCAGTACTCAGGAGTCAGAGGCAGGAGGATTTCTGTGAGTTCAAGGCCAGCCTGATCTACAGAGTGAGTTCCAGGACAGGCTGGGCTACATGGATAAACCCTGTCTCAAAAACAAGCAAACACAGCACGTGCCTTCTTTCACACATTCAGTGTGCACAGCCAGAAGCTTTATTGCTATCAGAGCCCTACAGCTACAAGATCTTAACAGCATTGGCAAGGGAGCCTGGGATGTGAGGTTTCTGTAAATGAAGAGGAGTGATAGAAAGGCAGATCACAAGTAACACGCCTTTCTCTGTTGTTGCAGGTGTGACAGCACAGAGAAACTAAAATCTCTTCTTCCTAAGCTGGAGCAAGAGCTTAAGGACCCGGCGAAGTTTAAGGACTTTTACCAGTTTACCTTCACCTTCGCCAAGAACCCTGGGCAGAAGGGTCTAGGTGAGTATGAATGCCAGGTTTGCAAGGTGCCAGAACTGACTCCTGTTGTAAGTGGACAGAATCTGTGATTCCAGCACAGATGGCTATGACGATGCCGTCACTATTTTAGCTTCTTTGTTCCACTTAACCTTTGTATAACTAGAAGTATCAGTTGATAATGACTCTTGGCGTCTAAATATAAATATTTTAAATTTAAAATATGAACTAGTTTGTGTTTCGTGTAATCTCTGTTACTGTCAATCAGCTAACAGTTTGAATGTATGGGCCATGTTCTCTGCATGGTGGTTTGCCAGCCAGGCCTTGAAACAGCTCTGCCATACACCAAAGTGCATCACAATTCCTTCCAGAACCGTCAGTATCACTTTACTGCAGACGTACACATCTGGGAAGTTTTTAGCTGAAAATTCCAGTTTGAGGTTTGGATTTATTTGGGGGGTTTTATTTAGTTCTGCATCTGAGTATTGGCTTATTTCTGCTTGTTTCTTCCTAAGAATAGCATGCATCAACCCATGATTAACTTGCATGGGATGTATAAAAGGCCCTGTGTATTTGTGTGAAATCTCTTACATGTGAGAAGGTGTATTCAGAAGATAAAACTGGTGAATAGAAGCAGTACCGTGGAGGCCTAAAAACCACACAGGTGGGAGCCTGTGCAAGGCCTCTCATTCAAACCTGTTCTGCCACACATGCCAATGCACGGGTGTGCATCTGTGCGTGTTCACACCTGTCTTTCCTGCTCCATCTCCTGTCCTGTTGCCATCATTGTCCTCCCCCAGCCTCCTGCTCTGAATGGCACAGGTCCAAAGAATCAGCAGCCAAGAGATTTTCTTCCTACATCTCCTAGAGCAGTCCCTTAGGGTTGCTTTCTTGGCCTTGTTTGTTTTCTCTGGTGTTGCTGTTTTAACGTTAATGTACTGGGCCATGGCCAACCTTCCCTTTCCTCCAGGCTTGTATGATCCCCTTCTGAGATCATACCACCTCTCAGATCAGTGCTTCAGGAGCCAAAGACGGGCCAGCCTTCAGAGTTGCATTTAGAATTTTGTCTGAACAGATACACTGGAATTTCAGAAGGTGGAAATGCCACCACTTCCTGTCAAATAGCTGCTGGGAAAACCATGTATTGATCCCTGTCCAAAAGATGCTAAGGGGTGTGGTGCAGTGGTAGATTGCCGTCTCAGCCTGGACACAGCATGAAAACTGTGAGAGTCGGGTAAACAAAAGAGAGGAGGCTGGTACCATCCCACACTCATGGGTCATACAACACAGTCAAGTGAAGCACTTGGCAAGAGGTGGTTGTGGTTAAGTGTACCCTGACCTTGCACTGCAGGATCTGGTCCTCATAGCGAAGGAGGAAAGCATGGCAAAGCCCACAGTGTCACAGGTCAGGGGAAGAAAAGGGGGTGTCCTATATTCTGCTCTTCTGATTTTTCCCATTTTTTTGAGATTTATTTTTATTTTATATGTTTGGGTGATTTGCCTGCGTGTAAATCTGTGCACACTGATGCAGTGCCCCGGTGAGGGTGTCGTGTCCCCTTGGAACTGGAGTTACAGATGGTGGCCAGTTGCCATGTGGGTTCTAGGATTGTAATCGTCAGTACTGGTAACCATTAGATCATCTCTGCAGCCCCTTTACCCCTTTGTAGAGACCAGCCTTTATTTGACTGAGAAAAAGGAGCCAGCCAGATGACACAGCTCTTTGGCTAGGTGTCCTATGGCCAATCAGTGCATGCCCAGGAAAATTCTTACATAGTCTTCCTGGTGGCAAAAGGAGGCCAGGGGTCCTCAAGGCAATATGTCTGGAGACCAAGGCATTGACAACAAGATTCTGGTGACGTTAGAATTTTGGCTGTTCCCAGTGGTATTGGTACAAAGTAAAACTCTGGGCCAGAACAATAGTCATCCTAATGGTGCATTTGGGTGTTAGGAATAAGACTGGGGCAACAAGAATCTTACCAACCAGTCCTCCTCAGCCATGACTCTTGCCGTTCAGACATCTATACCAGGATCTGAAAAATTGAGTCTCAATACTACTAGTACCTGTTAATGATTGGTTGACCTTTATTTCCATACCTCTTTGACAAGCAGAACCTCATGCTGGTGCTTTTTTTTCTTATATTAGAATATATTGAATGTACTAAGTAATGGGTTTCATTGTGAAATTTTCGTACAAACGACCTATTTACCCCAATATCGCCCTCCCCTCTTACTGGTTGTCGTAGTCACTGTTCTGCTGATGTGAAGAAACACCTTGATCACAGCAGCTCTTACTGAAGGAAAACATTAATTGGGCTGGCTTACAGTTCCGAGGTTTAGTTCATTATCATCGCAGCAGGGAGTGTGGCTGTGTGCAGGCAGACATGGTGCTGAGAATTCTGCATCCTGATTCTCAGGCAGTGGGCAGAGAGAGAGACTGGGCCTGGCATGGGCTTTTGAAACCCCAAAGCCCACCCCCAGTGACATACTTTATCCAAGAAGACCACACCTCCTAATCCTATAATCCTCACACTTTAGTCTCTGGACCACCTCCTCGTTTTAAATTTTTATTATTTTGACTCTATGTTTCTCTATGAAACTCTGGCTAGCCTGGAACTTTCTTTATAGACCAGGCTGACCACAGACTCAGAAAGATACCCCCTGCCTGTGTCCTTGAGTGCTGGGATTAAAGGTTTGTGCCACTATGCCCAGCCCACTTCTTTAAAAAAAAAAAAAAAAAAAAAGTAGATTTTGCAAATGAGATAAAGTGTGTTTTTCTGAGTCTAGCTTATTTCACTCAATATGATCTCCAGTTCCCTGTTTACCTGAAAACATGATTTTGTTCTTAAAGACTTACTAACACTATGTACGTATAGCATCTTTTCTACATTCCTTCATCTTTTCATAGGTACGTGTCAGCTTTTGTGAACCATGCAGTATACACATGGGTAGGCGGTCTCTACTGTAAGCGGATTTGACTCCTTTGGCCAAATGCACTCCCTGGGCCATATAGTAGTTCTATTTTTTATTCTTTAAGGAACCTCTGTACTGCTTTCCATGATAGCTACTGGTTTATGATGGCATCCTTATTTTTTTTTTCAATTTTTATTTGTGTGTTTATGACACAGGGAGATAGAGACAGAGAGAGGGGGAGAGAGAGAGAGAGATGGCATGTGACATGACCTCCATCTGGAGGTGAAAAGATAATTTGTGGAGTTATTTTCTCTTGCACCCTTATGTGGGTTACAGGGATGAAGCTCTGGCCACCAGTTTGACAGTGGCAAGCACCTTTACAAGCTGCTGTCTCAGTAGTTGTGTTCTAACAGTCTTAATTCTGGTTTCGGATTGCAAATTATGGCTACAGTTTTCAGCTGATCTTTCTCTGTACTGTGAGTGCATGTCCCTTCTTGTGCTTTGGTGACAAGGCTTAAGGTAACAATAGAATCAGTAGGTTTCCTGTTTGTAGTTGCTCTTTCAGGGAGCTGGGACCCCCTCCCCAGGAAAAGAGTGTTGAATTAATCCTTTTTATAAATGGGCCTGCTCCTACAGTTTTGGTCTTCACAGAGACTAACCCTGTCAGCGTGTCCTTTCTCTCAAGTCATTTGTGTCTGAACTTACTTGCTCAGGGGTGTTTTCTCCTGAGATCTCAGGGACAGTTCCCCTTTGTTTCTAGTTCTTGGGTTTTGTCCCTATCTTAGTTAGGGCTTCTGTTGCTGTGATAAAACACCATAACCAAAAGCACCTTGGGGAGGAGTTTGTTTAGTCTTATAGCTTGTAGTCCAGTATCCAGGGAAGTCAGAGCAGAGGAACTCAAGGCAGTGGAGGAGTGCTTCTTACTGGCTTGCTCTTCCTGGCTTGCTCACTTACCCAGGGTTGGCCCCACCCACAGTGAGCTGTGCCCTCCCACAGTTTGATGGGGGCTCTTTCTCAGTTGAGGTTTTCTCTTCCCAAATGACTCTAGCTTTTGTCAAGTTATCATTAAAGTGTACACAGTCCCTTAATCTAATCTTTAAATTATGCTTTATGGTGTTTTATTTCTTAATGCTTTTTTGCTTATTTTACAGTTGAAAGTTATTCATTTGACCATTTTTGTGGATCTGTTTGTGGCATGTACTGATAGCTTGGAACTTTCTGTTTATTCAGCTGTATCATAATATTTAAGGGATTTGTTTTCCAATGGTAGAGATTGAACGTAGGACCTCACACATTCCTAACATGTGCTTTACTGATGACCTATTATGTCTCCAGATTTTTTTTTTTCTTTTACATAAAGTCTTACTATGTGGCCCTGGCTGCCACAGCCTCTGCCTCTTGATTACTGGGATAAAGGTGGGTACCACCGCTCTAGAATCCTTGCTTTGAGGAGTTGAGATTTTACTTTGAGGGCCAAAACTCTTAGCTTTTATCTTTCTCTCACCTCCCCAATTTACTAAGGACTAAGAAGAATGTTATGTTTGCATTCTGTTTTAATTTGGACCTAGTCATCCATTCAGTATCATCAGAATTTGCTGGAGTTTTCTAGAAACTTAACAGAAGACTGGGCTGGGGCTCCCTCAGGCTTTAGGTTGTCTGTGAGCAAATGTTGGGGACTGGAGTGACAGCTCAGCGGTTAAGGGAAGGTCTGGTCACTCCTCAAGGGGCAGTGCTGTGTTTGGAGCAGAACTGATTCTGCTGGGCTGTTGCTTCATCCTACACTGCCAGGTTTAGTTATCCTTCACCAACTCTTCTTCCTGAGCCCAGCTTCCCTGGTCATGTTTAGCCTGCACAGGAAGTCCTGCCTGCCCAGCTTCCTGCCCCTATGGTAATGAGTACAGTCAGAGTGCTATTCCCATCTTCATCAGCTGGGAAAGTAGGTGGTGCTTTACTTCCAGCAGTTTAATTCCTAGAGGCTTATCTAGTTTTATTTTGCAGAATGATAATTAGCCTAGTCCAGGTTTTTAAGTAACAGCAATCACTTTCTGTTAGTGGTCATGAGAAAAGGACACTTGAGGCTTCAGTCCATGTCAGGCTTGGTTTTCTTTGTTTTTCTGTTTCCTTCTGTTTTGTAACTTAGTATTATATTAGAGTAATTAAGCTCCTATTTGAAATAAATCCTTGAAGGTAGGCATGGTGACTTAAATATGTATAATCTGGGTAGTTGGGAGGCAGGTGGATTGCTGCATGTCAGGTGTAACCCAGGCTTCACATAGCAAGACCCTGTCTCAAAATGACAAAGGGAAAAAAAATAAAGAAATCATATTACTGATACTCTGCAATCTTAGCAGATTCCTTCTGTTTAATGAAGTAAAAGTATTTTTAAAGTCAGTGTTTCATTTAAACTTTCATGTGTTTAATTTCTGTCTTATAATGTCATTTTAACTTTAAAATACAGTACAGTCTCAGGCTTTCTTCTAGGCCCTTGTGTTTGGTTTCCTATAGGACTACAACCTCAGTGTCCTTGCAAACAACAAATGAAGATCCAGCCTGGCATGGTGGCTCATGTCTTTAGTCCCAGCACTCAGAAGGCCAGAAGTAGGCTGATCTCTGTGAGTTTGAGGCCAGCCTGGTCTATATTTTGAGTTCCATGCCAGCCAGGGCTGCATATTGAGACCCTGCCTCAAAATTAATTAATTAATTAATTGATTAATTAATTAATTAGTTAATTAATTAAAAAAAAGAAAGAGATGCAGATTCTGTTTGAGTTAAGTAACCCACAGATGCACTGTTTGGGTTAGTTACCAACACATAACAAGATGCCTCAAAGCTTAGTGGCCTCACATTGTCATTGTCTAGAGCTCCTAGTCTTTTGGGTCTGGGATTCAGGCAGGACTCAATTAGAGTCTGCCTGTTGCCTGGGTGACCATGGCTGGGCTGATAGATTTTGCTTTCTTCCCATGTGCCTCCCACCAGTTTTTTTAACAGCAGGCAGCTACTCCTATAGATAGCATCACTTCTAGTCAGTGTGTTCATATTCAATATGAATTCTAATTTCCTAGTATTTTTGAAGTGGTCATAAATTAGAATCTAAAATCACTGCCCACTTCAAGCCTGTAAAGTTAGGGCAGAAGATTGTAATTCGGTTGTAGTGCACTTACCTAGCATGCATAAGGCCATCAGTTCCTTCCCCAGCATTGCAACAACTAAGAAATAAATATAATAAAATTTATTTTCTCTATTTGTGAATATTTCAGAAAAGTTCACTATAAGGGTAAGGGGTCTTCAGAAAGCTTTAAAGTCACAGGTCTAATATGTTTCGTTCCTCCGTTTATACATTTTCATAGCCTTTGATGGCAGAATTGGTCAGCAAAAGTGACAACAAATTTAACGAGTCCTTTGCTGAGAACACAGGACCGGCTTGCTTATTTAGGGAACACTGAGTTGTTTATTGGAATCATTCACCAGAAAGCTACAAGTTACTGAGTTTGTGTCTTTGCTTTTACAAATTGAGAGAAAACAAAATTGTGTTAAGAAATATAAAACCTCGCCCTCTTTCTTTCTGTGCCGATATCGCTCCCGCCAACATGGTGAATGTTTCTAAGACCCGCCAGACGTTCTGCAAGAAATGTGAAAAGCACCAGCCCCATAAAGTGGGGCTGTACAAGACGGGCAAGGACTCTCTGTATGACAGGAAACAGAGTAGATATGGTGGGCAGACTAAGCCCATTTTCCGCAAAATGGCTAAAACTACAAAGAAGTTTGTGCTGAGGTTGAGTGTGTTGAGCCTAACTGCAGATCTAAGCGGATGCTGGCTATTAAGAGATGCAAGTATTTTGAACTGGGAGGTGATAAGAAGAGAAAGGGCCAAGTGATCCAGTTCTAAGCTGATCTTGTTATGAAGACAATAAAAGAAACATCAAGAAAAAAAAAGAAATATAAAACCTCTTCAAGAGCATGATTAGGGAATGTGAACTCATCAAATAGGTACACATTATCTGACAAAGTTTTTTGAGGGCCTTTTCAAAAGAACTAAAAAAATGAATCACTTTATGTCTATAGATGAAAAATAGAACTGTCAGTTTGTCCTTTATAGGTCAGGCTTGTTGTGTAGTCTGTCTGTCTACTACAGACTTGGCGCAAGCAGAAGAGGTCGGCAGGCATGGCTCTGCATTTCCAAGAGGCACATCTTGCTGTGGGGTGTGACATCAAGAGAGCTTGGTTCTCTTCTTCCCTTGTGCTTTTGAGGCTGTGCATGCCAACAGTATGTGTACAGTATTGGTGTTTTTTGAGACAATGCTCCTTAGTTGGCCATACCAGTCCCAAAGTTCCCAGCTCAGCCATCTTACTGCCATTGCACCCAGCTGCAATGTTTTCCCCTGATGTCATTCTTCATTCTGTACACAGCAGATAGTTAACTGTGTATGTGCACACACACATGCCTGAGCACACATTTGCTTGCTCCTGTGTTCATTCAGAGCCTCACATGTGCTAGGGTGAGTACCCAGCTGCTGAGCTGCATCTGAGCTTAGGACTTCGTTTCAGTACAGACACTTAAGTGATTTTATGCCGCTAACATTGGAAATCAGCTAGCTTGGAGAATCTTGAGTTTTGAGGAAATGAAGTTTCCTACTAACTTTATTCTTCTGAACGGAGGGTGCTTCTTTGTCTAGAGGAGCATCACACACATAATTCTAACTAGCCTTGCCTTCTAGCATTTTCTTAATCAAGAGTTGGACTTGTTAGAAGTTCTTGAAAAGAAACTGATGCCAGAACATTCTCATTCCAAAGTAACTATGGCCCCTGATTTCAGTCTCAAGGTCTACTGTTGGGTAATTTTGTACTTGTTATTTTTCAGATGGCCCAAGTTCACTTGGATAGCATGACATGTTTTACATAGGACTTTTAAATGTTGGAAATTTATACATTTACTTTATAGTCATGTAACTCATGCACTTCCAGATGAGGTACTTTATAAGAAGGGTTTCTAGGACCAAAACTAACCCAGACTCAACTAGATTATAAAGTATGCCATAAAACTTTATTTTTCTTTCCTCCTCAGGTTCTCCTCCATTTCCCAGTGTGAGCGCTTTACATCATTAAGATGAGTTGAATCTAGATCTCACTTAATGTTCTTCCTAAGGGATAAAGATGTAGACTTATAAGCAGGACAAGACTAATCGTCTTAGCCTTACACTGCGGGTCCCATAGGTAAGGCCTAGTAAGCCCTCCACACACCATGACTAGACCTCTCTGATGCTCTCCTTTCTGTGGAGACTCCAGGGTGCTTAGAACGGATCAGGCCTGTAGCGTACCACATAAGCCCATAGGGAATGAGAGTCCTATTCAATGTTGGTCACTAGCCATTCGTCTCTAGCTTATTAGCGTTAGTAGTGACCAGCCCTTGAAGTCTCTAATTGGAGCCCTTACATCAATCATTTCTCTCCATGTGGGAGAAAGTCTAGGAAGGTGCTTCTTTGTGGGTATCAAATTTAAACTAATCTGTTCTTTTAATGTAGTTGTTGGTCTGCTTTTCATATTGCTTTATCTGACATATGTTCAGAAATAAAATTAGGAGATTATCTTGGCATAGCTACCTGTTTTTTGCCTGTGGTGAGCAGTACTCATCATGATTAAAATAGATAGGCTTGCTGTGTCCAACATATAAAAAGAAGTACGAAAACGTTTGCAGTGAGCAGGGAATAGTTAGTCCTGAAAACTTTGACAAGAGTCTGTCCCAGAGCCTCCTGGAAACCCAGCATTCATTTTCCATTAGATACACAGCTTTAGATAAACCTTATAGCATACATGAGCTTAAGAATGGTGAAATACTCACTGTTTTCTAGTTGAGGGAGAGGACATTAGCTTTGATTGATAAACAACCCAAATTTTTTTTATCTTTGTAGCAGTGAAAATAGTTTTCTCTGTATGTAGAAATCTGTCTTAACTGTGCAGTGAGAAATTCGTAGTCCTTAGACCATCCTGTTTGATTGAGAATCGGTAGTTCTAAGTTAGCGATCTTTCTTAGTTCACATGACCATGAGGCAGGTCTGCTGGAGGAAACTGATCCCTCCCTTGGAAATAAGTCCTTTAATTTTCAGCTTATCACTTGGAAAGAGCAGCGGTCTACTTTCTGAATAACTGATCTACACTAATAGTAATAATAGATTGGGTCAGGCACAGCTATGTCCGACACACATGGAATGCAAGTCTCCAAAACTAGTTAACTGGGGGCAACTACTTGCATGTCCAAATAATATACAAGTGCTTCCTAAGAAATTTCCTGACTCATAAATTTAGATATATGTCATTTCCAGAAACACTTGCATAGAGATTGGGTAAGATTGCCAAGTAGTTATTTTTATTCTATAGGAGAAAAAAGAGGTTTATTAATCACCCTCTTTTTCTCTTTTTCTGTCCTTCCCTTCCTCTTTTTTTCTCCCCCCATTCCCATTTCTCTCTGACAGATTTAGAAATGGCTGTTGCATATTGGAAGTTAGTATTGTCTGGAAGGTTTAAATTTTTAGATCTTTGGAACACATTTCTACTGGTAAGTGACTGTTTCTTGTCTTGCGTGCTGCCCAATCAAGAGGAAGTTTTTCTTATTTAAAATGCTAAGGTTTGAGCCCCGAATAAGGGTATATGCCTTTAATCCTAGCACTCAGGAGGGTAAGGCCAGTGGATCTCTGTGGGTTCAAGGCCAGCCTGGTCTACATAGTGAGAATATATATACATCTACATCTGAACGTAGTCACCTGACTAAAGGATGAATATAAAGGCAAAGGGCTGCACAGGTTCGCCACTTGCAGAATGCCACAGCATAGCAGCAGAGCCGCCTGCAGGTGGCAGCTACTTTTTCTAGGATGTTGTCAATAAGCTTTCAGCTGATCTTAACAGCTCTCAACCTGCGATCTCCTCTGAGGACTTCCCAAACTCAGTCACTCTTCATTGCTATTGAGGAACTTCACATCCATGAAAGACCACAGTTGCTGCACACTGCTCTGGACTCTAGAGTGTGGACCAGATCTTGTTGTCCAGAGGTACCCTGTCATCATATGTGACTGTAATCTACTATACCACACAAATATGGACAGGGGGCTTTTCTGGGGTGCCATAAGGAAGGCATTGTGTCTGTGCTAGGCCCTGTCTTGTAGGGACAGCCAGTTTAGCTGTGAGCTATCTGAAGTGAGTGGAGTGCAAGGACATGTCCTGGATCCACAAAAGACGGTCCTGGTCACAGCAGAGATACCCACGCCCACACTGTCACAACCATGAAAAAAGGTCATGCTTCCCACAGCACACCCTATAGCCAGGCTGGCCGTACCCCTCCCTCTTCTCCATTCGTGACCCTAGCTGGCGTGCACCCTGCTCTGCCTTGGCTTGGTAGGCTTGGGAACATTGCTTCTATGTGCCTCAGTTTCTTTATTCAGTGATAGTATTCAAGAGCATGGCCTGTGGAAGACAAGCAATGTCTTAGTAGCCCAAAGGCCTTCCTGTCAAGGGGCTCATCCCATCATGTGTCATGTGTCTTATAGAATGTTCAGTGGTTGATAAAGCAGCACCCAGTTCCTCCTCTACTTTTTGTGACACTTGGGATGGAACCTGCAGCTTCCTACGTGCTAGATAGGTGCTCTACAGCTGAAGTACACCCCCAGCTCACTTTGTGTTTGAAGCAGGGTCTTGCTGAACTCAAGCAGGCCTTGAACTTGGGATCTTCCTGTCTAGACTACTCAGTGCCTAGGATTACTGGCCTATTTCACCAGGTTCTCATCTTTGGGTTACATAACAAACTACAAGACATTGCCATGTGTATAGGAGTAAGAAAATGCTGCTGCATCATGGAGTCAGCAGGGTGCTAGAGCACTCCAGTGCCACTGATGGGAGGACGGAGAGAGATGAGAGGCTTCCCAGTAGAACAGAGGATGGCGGAGCAGGGAGGCGAGATTGGCATGTCAGATGCACTTTTCAGGCCTAATGTGCTGGGGAAACAAATTGTAGGAACAACTGACAATCTAGCAGTTGACGTTTTAATATACGATATGAAGTTCTTAAAGAATCAAGTAAATAAACAACAGGCTTCAAATAAATAAATATACAAAATAAGGCCTGGCAAGATGGCTCAGCTGATAAGGGTGGCTGCCACCAAGTCTGACAACTGGAGTTTGATCCTTAGAACCCAAATAGTGGAAAGAGAGAACTGACCACACACACACACACACACACACACACACACACACACACACACACACGTTGTTCTCTAACCTGTGCACATGCATAGAAATAGATAAATGTGAAAAAATTTAAAGATAGCATACACACATAACAAGCATAGAAGCTGTTTATGTTACATGCATGTATTGGCATGTAAAAGCTGGCATGACAGTGGTAAGTTCGAGGAAATGAGTGCTTTTTAGGTGAAGAGGGGAGTACCTGCTCAGACAGGTGCTACCGAGGCCCAGCTTTGCCTCGGAACTTGCCTTTCTGTGATACGGGCGTTGTATTCATCTCCATGTGTTTGATGTGACCGGAATATTGAATAACAAAGATTATTTTAGATAACTACCTCTACCCACCCAAGAGACCCTTGATATAGAAGTGTAAATGTGAGGAAATAAGTGGAAATAGGACTCCAGATTGCCCTGCATCATCTCTGAACAGGGTTAGGGAAGTGGGGAGGAAGGACATTGGAGACTGGCCTTTTGTCTGACCAGACAGCAATATGTAATTTTAATATTTAAAATATATAAATATTTTTGCTCCCTATTTTATCTTCATTTAATGCTAAAAGAAAAAAAATGTACTGTAAATCTGACAAATGACAGAACGCAGGTGGTATTTCCACAGCATGGTTTTAAAATATAATGTTGATAGATAGCTAAAATTACGCTTATTTCAGTAGACATGAGTTTCATCTTATATAGAAAATTATCACCTTCAACTTAAAAAAAAAAACAAAGGTTAAACAAACAAATGCTTCTAACTGTATTTGTATGTACTTATTTTTAAAAAGAAAAAAAAAAAGCCAAATATTTAAAATATTTTAAAAACGAGTCAGTGTTCTTTATCTGGACTTAACGGCACAGAGCACATGCAGTTGCTGTGAAGGACTAGCTGTGAATTTGTACCATAAGGAGGATCACTTGCTAATGCAGTGCGCCCAGCCACTAGCGTATCTGAGAGTTAAGATCTGAACCTTAACCTGGTGGATGTTTTTCTCTTATGTATTAGGAACATCACAAAAGATCAATTCCAAGGGATACTTGGAACCTTCTCCTAGATTTTGGAAACATGATTGCAGATGATTTGTCTAACTACGATGAAGAAGGTACTAGAAGCTGTAGGACTTCTCAGGGTTACCAGAGATGCTCACACCTCCTATGGATGCTAATGGACTACCTCCAGAGTGAGGGGGCAGACACTGACCCAGAAGGGCCACCCACCCACCCACAGGGACTTACTTGCTTATCAGCTTCTAGAACCACATAAAACCTGGTTAGGATGATTGGAGATGTTATCATAAATCCATATATATTCCCCTTAATGCCAGAGAACCCCACATTAGAGACATTTAAGGTCCTTCCATATAGTAGCACTGTTCCCTGAGAGGGGCCTGGTCCTGGATACCTTGTCTCCCCTCTAAATGTACCTGACCAGGACTTTGTCCAGGACATCTTCACTCATGTATTCGGCCACTACCCTTCACTGACAGCATCCGGTTCATGTCATGTCCCTCATTTGTATGTCCTTTCTACTCAACACAGTGCCCGTACAAATGATTCATGAAAGTGTCTTGTATAAAAGGAGGGATAGATGTAAACAACTTGGTTCTCACGAACCATAACTGTCCCTGGTAAAACTAACTTGTCTGCCAGGAGACGGCATATGAGGCAGCCAGTGTGGCTGAGGAGCTATGGTGACCTGCACGGGGTAGATTTGGTTGGGAGTCTGGTAAGGAGTCAGAGAGAATGCCCATGACTAAGGAGTAATGCTCCTCAGCCCTTAGGAAGCGGTAAGTCCTTTTCTTTCTGTTCCTAATCGGCAGGGTCTAACTGCCCATAAATTGGCTGAGGCCTGAGAGGCCACCCTGTAGGCCCAGAGCATGGCCTCAAGGCCATTACACACACCACTCACTGGTCCTACTTCCTGCAGCAGAAGAACCGAGTGACTTGAGCAAGGCATTTGATTCGACACAAGCTGCATAAGCTTCAGATTTGTTTTGCTTCTTTAGATGTTAGATTTGGGGAAAGAACATTTTTAATGTACACATAGTGTTATCACAGACTTATTTTAAAAAGTTGCTTGTTTTCCTTTAGGAGCCTGGCCTGTCCTTATTGATGACTTTGTAGAGTATGCACGACCAGTGGTCACAGGTGGGAAACGTGGCCCTTTCTAAATGGAAACATCAGATAGGGGAAGGTGAATGAGACAGATCCAGAAAGGAGACAACTGGGTTGGTTGCTGTGTGCATTTGTTGCTGACTTCAGAAGTCTTCCTCGTCCATTCATGAAACAAATCCTTACTCCGCTTAAAGGCTGCCATGTAGGAATGGAGAAACCCTCAGGATGTTAGGGACGGCCCCGGCCCGTCGTCAGAGCTATTGCTTTAGGAGATGCCTGCATGACTTACTTGTCTTTACAGAGAGCAGCATAGAGCCTGTTTGCAGAGCAAAAGCATGCTGTTCAGTCAGTCCATGATGCTCAGGTGAACACCACTGGTTTCCAAAGCTGTGGAATCACACTGCAGTTATGCTTCAAAATAGCATCTGTGTCCTCAGAATGATGTATCTTCTATACAAGTCGAAGCTGTTAAAAACGTGCCCTGATGAAGACAGCCTTGTCAAGCCTACTGCTTTTAATCTTGGTATTCAAGATTGATAGTTTCGAATTATCGAATCTCTAGATTTACTAGATGTTTGTTTTATTTTTCTCTAGAAGACATTGTTGCAGTTTGCACAGGGATGTTACAGGATGTAATCCAGCAGGTTCATTTCAAACTGTTTACAAGCTGGTGGGCCTGTTTTACTTCTAATAAGGTTATTATTATTATTATTATTATTATTAGGCCTGGATGCTGCCTCCTGAGAAGTTTCTTATTTTTTTAATATATTTTATTATATTTAAAAGGACATTTTTCCATGAGAAATACTTCTTTTTGAATGGTGAATTAGATTTACAAATCAAATGCACTGGTTCCCTTCACCTGTCTACAATGTCTACAGTGCCCAGTGCCCAGTGTCCAGCCCTTGGATAGCCATATGCATTTGCAAGCAAAAACATGTCATCCAAAAGAGTCTACACCCAAAGCCTCTGTCTCATTTGTCTGCATCATGGGACTGCACCAGGTCACTGTGCCGTGTCACCGTCTGCTTTTCTGGTGTTTCTCTGGTCAAGATCCACTCATGCACACAGGCATGGAGGGCCTGGATACTATCTGCTCATCTGATGTCAAGCTCTGAACATCACTGTGCTGACCCTACCTCACATTTGCCAAGACTTGGTGTCACAAGCGTGCCTTGCTGCCCAGCCTACAACGTGGCCATGGGGCAGATGTGCTGGACCCACTTGAGAATTGGGGACTGGTCAAATGCCCACACTCAGAAAGCCTGTCCCAGATGTGCTGTTGGGGCAGCTTCTGGTAATGGGACATGCCCCTGACTTAGGAAACATTCTGAGGCATGTACAGTCTACGGTGAGATGGACTGATGATGAACATGGATCTCACAGAGGAGGTGGAGGATTGGAACAGGAGGACAGTCTCCACAAAGCCAACCCTCACTGTGTGAGATGACATCACTAGGGACCTGTGAATGTAGATCTGTAAAAGGGAAAACTAGAACATCTTTGGGAATGTATGTATGATTACAAACTGACTGAACAAAAACCTGGAAAACAAAGCGTCCTTTTAGGTCTTGTGGGTCCCTGACATGCACTTAACCTCTATTCAGAGAAATTTATAGATACATATAACTAAATTTTGAAGGCCTGCAATATGCTCTTATTTTTAAGATTTAAAATTCTTCAGGAAGACCAGTGATATGATTGAGCAGGTTAAGGCATGTGCTGCCCAGCCTGACAACCTGAGTTCAGTCCAGGGGACCCACAATGTGGAAGGAGAGAACAGACTGCCATAGGTTGTCCTCTGACCTCCACACATGTGCCATGAAATGCATGTATTCCCCCTACACACATGTACTTAACACAATAAACTAAACAAATAAATGCAACTTTAAAATTTTAAATTCTATGGGATTGTCAATAGACTGTGAAGTACTAGTGATTGATAAAGGCTTTTCAGAGACTTATGCTTTCTGTTCTATTATTTACACTTGAACTGTGCATGTTACAGAAATGCTGAAAACTTCAGAAATAGTAAATAAAGTATTTTCCCTGGTGTCGTGGTGTCCTTTATTCTTGGTTGCACAAATACCCACCTGTGCACATCAAGACCCTGGTCTTTTTTTTGGCTTGGACCAGAAGTAAGGTCCCTTACAGCAACAGCAAGCCCTTGCCACACTGCCTCTTAACGTCCCACCAGTAAATAAGTGTATTGGAGACAGACAGCTTCTTTTGTCTAGGTTTATTTCTCAGTTCAGTGTGCTGGGCAGTGGGAGCTGCATAGCAGAAAATACTAATATAGCTATAATTGCGTTTAAAACCCGTTTACGGAACACAACAGGTATAAGAAATGTATGTAATCGGCTCTGCTTAGTACCTGCCATGATTTTCAGGACAACATCGCCCCATGTAAGTGACACCAGTGCAGTGTTGTCTGTGTTTCAAACTTGACGCTCTGCAGGCACAAAAGGAAGCCTTCGGCATCTCTTGCTGTGTCCAGCATCCTGTAATAGCAGGGATCTGAATGTTTGTCAGATAGACAAACTTGTGAGACCACCTTATCTTGTGACTTTGGCCAAGTAGTGTGTGGACATTGTTCCCAAATGTCCTTAACAAAGTTCCCTCTCCCAGGAGTCCCTGAACTTAGCTCATTAGTTGTCCCACCTGAAGTGCGTCTCTTGCTGACTTCTGCTGTTGGTCTTACTTGGGTGGAAACCATTTCCACTCTGGTTGTGAGGGATTGCTTTACACTGAGAGTTGTGCCAGCAGGAAAGGCATCTTGCTACACACTAAAGAGCTTACCAATTGTTTGTAAGCCCAAGGGGTCCCCTGCCAATTCTCCATGCAGCAGACCAAGTCACAGGAAGGCCAACTGGGGTCTGCCTGCAGGGTTTGTGCTTGAGAGGGAATAGGGAGGTCTTCCTCCTAGTTCATTTCAAACCAAGAGGCCTGGCTTTATAAAGTGTGTCCTACGTACCCAGTCTCATTATTTAATAACTCCACGAGCAGGCAGGAATGTTCACAACACATGAAGCTTGAGGTGGCACAAGACCAAGCTTGCTGAGACATGCGCAGTCTCAAATCCAGCATTGGAGCCCCTTACTGAACACTAAAGTGTGAGACAACACTTCACAGGAGTTAGGAGTGCTGCATCTTTGAAACTTTTCTCTCATGACTTTTTTTTTTTTTAAATGGTGCTGAGGATTCAACCAAGGGCCTCATGTATGTCAGATTACTTGCTCTGTCATGGTGCTATTCCCATTGCCCTCACGATTTCATAATGAGAAAGGTTTTCTAAAAGCATAAAACTACAATGGATGAATCTCAACATTATACTGAGTGAGAGAGGGCGGATGAAAAGGGGCCACATGATGTATTACTGTAATGGCAAGACAAGTGTGTTTAGTTGAAGGGGGGGGGCAAGAGCCAATGGCAAAGACAGAGCAGTAATGTTTACATGGTGACATGCACTTCTTTGCCAGCAGGGGGCATATTCCATTAAGGAGCTGACACAGTAGCGTGGCTCAAGGGCTCTGAGCGGCTCTGGGTGTGGACCCGTGCCAGCAGGCTACTTTGCTGGAGAGCCTGTGCTGTGCAAACGGCTCCCACGTGGTGAGCTCAGAGCTTTATCTCATTGGTGCCACCTGCCAAGGCAGGGAAGGAACGCCTGGCCATTTGGAGAGTGCTGGATGGTGATACAATGACCACTATAAATGTCAGTCGGGCTGGCTAAGAGTGGCCAGGAAAGGACAAAGGCAACTGCAGGCTAAGAGGAGTCACCTTCTTCTAAGATGGAGAAGTTCAAGGCGGCAATGTTGTTGGGGAGTGTTGGTGATGCACTCGGCTATGGAAACGTCTGCAGGGAGAACAGTGTTTTAGGCTCCATCCAGGAGGAGCTGCAAAAGACGGGAGGACTGGACAGTCTTGTGCTCTCACCTGGAAAGTGGCCAGTGAGTGACAACACCATCATGCACATGGCAACCGCCGAGGCCCTCACCACAGGTAGGACTGACTGGCACCCCCCCCACAGGTGTGTTGGGGTAGAAAGATGGGTGTGTGGCTTCCTGTGTTGACAGCAAAGCAGCGCCAAGAACCTTGAAGATGGTGCTTTCATGCTGTGTTACCTGACACTGCCGCTGAAGGTGGTGATTTAATATTCACCCAAGACCTGGAGCCTGACAGGCAGCAGGTCATGTTTCTCCTGTGTGTGTCTTTGGGGCACAGCAGCACTTTGCAGACAATTAAGTTCCAGCTTCTAAACAGCAACATTCCCTTGCTTCTGCTGTGGCACAAACGTCTGGGCGCTGCCTGTTCTGATGGGATCAAAGCACAGGCAGAGGTTCACACTGCAGAGGATGAGTGAGTGTCTTGTCCTAAATTTATTTCAAAAGAATGTGTTACCCAGCTTGAAACTTGGACCCACTGAAATAACATTATTTGGGGATTGCATCCTAATTCCAAAGAGTTAAGGTGAAAATATCCATAGGAGTGATTCAGTTTGGAGACTGTGTGTAAATGTTATAAGAAAGAGCAGTTTGAATTCAGGAAAACAAAGTGTGTTCAGTAAGGAGCAGATGGTGCTAAGATCAACAAGACGTTACCTAGATGTCAGAGGATAGAGCATATACCAACACAGTGTGTCTTTGCTATGCAAGGCATGCTAATGTCCTGCAGGTCTCATATGCCATCAATTCAAAATTAAGATCTGAGGGCAGCAGTTAAGCCAACAGATCTCACTTATGCATTCACCATTCTTTTCATCTGCTGTGAACAAGCCCAGCTTAGTTCTGTGGTCACTGTATAGGAATGCCACCAATGTCATGTCCCTAAATAGAGCTGAAGTACGTTGATAAGATACGGTGTCACAGCTCGTTGAAATGGTGAGGCATCTTTCTGAGTGGGCATAATTATGGGAGCCAGTATTTATGGATTCTGCCGTCATTGTATAGGAATATCACCAGCTAGTCCCAGATAACTAGGGGAAAGTAAAACACATCAGTAAGAGACAGTTATCAATTCCAACTATTTATGTCTTCTGATATTTTTGGCCTTACTTACATGCCTTTATGGTCAATACTACAGCTCAGAGCCTGCCACATCTTACCACCTCTGGAGAACATGACTTTTCCAACAAAACTGCAGTTGGTACTTAACTTTTGACATTTGCTTCCTTGATGCTGTGTGCATGCCATTGCACAGCTTGTTTCTGATGGGTGTTCTGAGAGTGCCAAGTGCTAGGCCTGTATCTGTCTTCTCTGGAGAGCCCCTGACAAAGGTAGGTCTTGTGTAGTGACACAGGGACTTGAGATCATCTATGGGCCAAAGTCCACCCAAGATGAAGTATGCATATTTGGTAAGGTTTGGGCCATTTTGCATTGTTATTATTTTTTTTTTTTTTTGGTTTGGCTTTGAGGGAAAAGTGAGTTCCCTGCCAGTCACCAGGAGTACCAAGCATGTGTTGCTATGTTGTGCCCCATCGAGCCTCTTGTTGTAAATCATGAGAAAACACTTGTCGAACACCCCCTTAGTTGATCCTCTAGACCAGAAGTTCTCAACCTGTGAGTTGTGACCTCTTTGGGGATCAAATGACCCTTTCACTGGGGTTGCCTAAGATCATCTTAATATCATATTTTATATTATGATTCATAAGAGTAACAAAATCATAGTTAAGAAGTAGCAGCTAAAATAATTTTATGGTTGGGGTCACCGCCACATGAGGAAGTATATTAAAGGGTGTCAGCGTCAGGAAGGTTGAGAGACACTACTTTAGACACCAAGCATGGTTTTTTTTTTTTTTTTTTTTTTTTTTTTTCTGCTCACTAAACTCAAGGTTTTGACTTTAAACAGCCCAGGCCCACTTTAGGACCCAACTCCTTTCAGTAAAAGTTCATAATGAGCTGCCCCAACTGACGTACATGCACTGTCCCAAGGTCATGTCATCTTCATATTCTGAAAGGTGGCTTCGGGGTTTCCATTCCACAGGTGAGATGGACACTTGGAGCCATGTGAGAGCACATCCAGGCAACCTGGCTGCAGGCCATGTTCTCATGTACCCTGTCTACTGCCTAAGGTCAAGGTGGCCACAGAACTATTAATTACAGTGCTGGATGCCCTATGGCTGCTTCCCAGAATGGATCCCCTCTTAGCACTTTTAAACAAGTGTCACTCATGATTCCATCACCCAGCAGTGGCTATGTGGTCTATAGGCCATGGCTTAGCTGCCACTGTGACCACAGCTCATTCAGGACATGAAAGCAGAAACAAAGGCAAGGCCTTGTCTGATGTTCTACAAGACCCGTCAGTGGTGCGGCAGCTGAGACCTCAACTCAGGAGTGCGAAGACCGAGGCGACTTCCTCGGTCACCAGGCAAGCACCAGGCTTTGAGTGTTTCTCATTTTAGGACCGTTTGCTCTGGGGCTTGCGTTCGAAGCTCCACATTCCCACTAGCTGCTGCTGAGCCTAGAAAAGTGGTGAGGTGCTCACACCCATGCTCCTTAAAACCCTTGTGGGTGTGGGAGTCAAACAGAGCCACAGGATGCAAGGCCACCAGGCTGGGGTCAGGCTCTAGAGGATCTTGTGCCACTGAGGGTAATTACACCATTCTGGCTGACTGTTGACTTTCAGGGCCAATCAGTAAGGCAGGGACAGGAGGAGGGCAGGAAGTGTCTCAGTGTGCAGCCTGCAGGGAAACTGAGACCAGCAGAACACTGGTGTGCCAGACATACTCCTTCTCTTCAGATTAGAGTTAGAGCAGACACAGGTCAGAGCCAGGGTGAGGGGAAGTGGATGCCATCTTGTGGAATTCATAGGTATATTGCTTCAAACTCAGTTTTGCTTTTTTTAATCATGTCAGTTGAGAGCTACTGGCCAGTTTTTTGTGTTTTGGTCTTTTTTGTTTTGTTTTGTTTTGTTTTTTAAGATTTACTTATTTATTATGTATACAGTGTTTTTATTATGTATATGGTGTATTATGTGTACAGATGGTTGTGAGCCATCATGTGGTTGCTGGGAATTGAACTCAGGACCTCTAGAAGAGTAGCCACTGCTCTTAACCTCTGAACCATCTCTCCAGCCCCTGCTGGCCAGCTTTCTAAAGTGACTCACCTTTCAGGAGGATGGCAATAAGTGTAGTAGTCAAAATAGGGTGCTGGATTTTCATGAACCTTTTTTACTTTGGAAAAGCTCAGTTCCAGTTGAAGGCAGAGATTTTCGTGGCATCTGGTCTTATAATAATTGTTTTAGAGGGCTTGGGGAGGCCTGGGCTGCCAGGACGGAGGAGGAAACTGCCCTGGTCGGTAAGCAGATAGCACTGGTAACCGGGTGCCTGGCCAACAGCCTGGCCACGGGACAGGTCCTGCCTCCCAGCAGGGGTTTGCCGGCAGACAAAGCTAATTTTATTCCTGTAGGGCTGCCACCAGAAGCTTGGCTGGAACATATGGCACTCCCTCCTCCAAAACAAAACTCTGCCCATCCTTTCTCCTGCCCCAATTCCTAGCCAGGCCTGGCCCTAGAAGAAGAATGGCAGGGGGCTGCCTCTGTTCAAGGGCAGGGTGAAAGAAAGGCTCCTTCTCCAGGAGCTTACAGCTAGGGGTAGAGGCTCAGCTCCTACTCCTACACGGGGAGCAATTCTGATGGGCACTTTGTTTCTCTTGGCAACAAGGGAGTCTGAGATTTCCAGCCTGCTCTTCTCTGGAGCAGGACCACCAGCCCCTTGTATCCCATCCATCTCTAACTACCAAGCCCTCAGCAAAGACAGATCCCCCATGGCCAGATGATCAAACTCCTTGGCTTCTACTACCTGGGTGTATGTGACTGTTGTCCACCAAGCTACGGATTAACTTAGTGACCAAAAATCTCTGGCTTTGCAGTCAAGTCTCCTGAGCTCTAGCCAGGTAGTGTCTTCCTGGAGAAAATGATGGCTGCTCTAGGCTACAGGAGGCAGAGCTGGGCCAGGCCCCGTGCTGGCCAAAGGCAGATGTTCAGGGTTTGACTCATTCTGGTCTCACGCACACACCACACACACACACTTCAAGGGAGCAAGGCACAGTTTGGCAATAGCAGCCATACAGAGCCTGGGGTCCCCAAGGGGGAGGGGAAGCAAGAGCTCAGAGGAATCACCCTGTCTCCTGGTGTCCCTTCAGAACACTGCTCTGCAGAGCGTAGCGTGGTCTCGTTTATTCTGAGTGGACAAAACCGTTAGTAAAAATGAGGGTGGTAGGTGTTCCCTAGACCCTCAGGACACCAGTGTGGTGGTTTAAAAGAAAACGCTCCCCCACACTAGGAGGTGTGGTTTTATTGGAATAGGTGTGGCCTTGTTGGAGGAGGTATATCACTGTGGGGGCAGGCTTTGATGTCTCCTCTGGTCAAGCTTTGCCTGGTGTGACACTCAATTCACTTCTGGTTGCCTGCAAGATGTAGAACTCTGAGCTACTTCTCCAGCACCGTCTCTGCACGCACACTGCCATGGTCCACCATGATGACAACGAATGGAACCTCTAGACTGTAAGCCACCGCAATTAAATGTTTTCCTTCATAAGAGTTGCCGTGGTCATGGTGTCTCCTTCACAGCAACAGAAACCCTAAGACAACCAGAATAGGAGTTAGTGGTCAGCTTAAGGCCTAAAATCCATCCAGGCAGCAGCAGAGATATCAAACTTTCTCCTCTAAGCCTGCTCATGCGTCCTTGGCATCGATGGAAGCCATTCCCACGCCCAGCACCTCACACTTTCTGTCCTCACTGACATCTGTCCCCACCCCTTCTTCCATAGACTACTGGTGCCTGGATGACCTGTACCGGGAGATGGTAAAGCGCTATGTGGAGACAGTGGAAAAGCTTGCAGAACATCGGCCAGACCCTTCCACAATTGAGGGCTGCTCAAAGTTGAAACCGGATAACTACCTCCTCGCCTGGCATACGCCTTTCAGTGAAAAGGGTCAGAGAGCTTTCTGTTCACAGAGCTGCTGTTAGGGGTCTGGCGGGTATGAGCGCAGAGGGGCTTTTGTTACCCATCTCCAATTTACTTTAAGGGATATTTGCCTTTCCTTGAAGCATGCATTTTGGCAAGAAGCACTCTCTTTGTTCACACAATTCAGCATGTAGGCAGCCCCAGCTCCCACCTCCTCCCCTGCTGGCCAGGTCTCCTGGGACCCCTTAAGAATAGTGAAACCACTGCTCAGTATCTACCTGAAGGGGACAGAGTGCATCTGTTCCCCGGTGGTGGCCACAACTGTCAGCCTATGGCCAGCTCCATCAATCTGGGGACCTGGGCTCACTCTTCCCAAACAGAAGAGGAAGTGCTAAAGCCTGGAGTCTCTCTGAAGGGCAGGACAAGAGGAGCAGAGCACAGACAAGACCAGGTCAGCTGCTCCGAAACCCCAGGAATTTCAAGAGAGAACAACCCAATAGAAGGTTCAATGTGAGAGGTGTAGATGCCACCACCACGAGATCATTTGAACAGGTATAAACGTGTCACTATGAAGAGAAGCAGTTTAAGCAGGTATAGCAGGACTGGTGTTGTAGTTTCATTTCTGCTACTGTGATAAAACACCCTTGTCACAGTTTAGAGGGGAAGAGGGTTTGTTTCAGCTGCAGTTCCATCATATGGAGAACTCAAGGCAGGAACTTTAATCAGCTGGTCACATCACACAGCCAAGAGCACACGGAAATGAATGCATGCATATTTGCTTGCTTGCTTGCATCTCATCTTGATTTCTCCATTTTTAAATGTTCAGGATGCCCTGTCTAAGAATGGTACCACCCACAGTGGACTGGGTCTTCCCACATCAATTAATTTAGCTAAGACAACCCCCACAGATGGGCCTACAAACCAACCCAATGTAGACAGTCCCTCACTGAGACTCTTTCCAGGTTATTCTAGATTGTGTCACGTTGACAGTTAACATTGACCATCACAATTACAGCACAGGAGGACTTCAGGGTCATCACTGTGTTGCAAGAGGCTTCCTTCCAGGCAGAGCAAAAGTGATACAAGTTCTTGAGAGGGAAATCCAGCGTTATCTGTCAAAGTTGTTTAATGAAAATGCCTTTTGGTGTGTTATTCTATTTCTAAAAGTCTTAAAGACCCACAACGACAACACACAAAAGCAAATGGCAGAAAGGTGTGTATGAGGATGACCCTGGCATCATCATCTGTGCTAGGAAAACCCTGGAAGCAGCTTGGTGTCTCTCAGTAAGAGAATGGGAAAGTAAACTCTGTATCTACACAATGGAATGCTATGCAGCTCTTTAAAAAAATGGAGCAGATCTGTATGTTGAGGTGTGGAAATTCTCTGCTATAAATTGGTAGAAAAAGCAAGATTCTGAGCAGTCCTCTACATCATTCCCATATGCATGTGAAGAGAGTTCATAGAGTGTGCATGAGTGTCCATACAGGAAACTCCACAAAAGACCAGAGAGCCTTGACAACAGAAATAAACAACGTTAGAGTCTTGATGTATGGAAATGACCACAAAGGTGGAGTGCCTGAGGAGGACTCAATTATAACTTAATAACACTCTTTTTAAAGAGAAGTTCCCAGGAAGAGTGCCGTATAACAAAACTGTTTCGAAAGTGGAAGGAAACAACTAAAGAGAGAGGGAAGAAGGAACGAAACAGCAATATCTGGGCAACACCACTTCTGATGTTCCTCAAGTAGATGCTCACTCATTACAACCCTGCCCATTTTCAGGGATTAAATAGCTCCATTTTCTTGCAACCTGACCCACAGATCTCTCTTCTATTGTCTGGGACTTGGGTGGCTTGTTTATTTCACTCATCTAAAGCTATTCTAATGGCACATTGTTACCTAAATGTCATACTTTAGGAATTGTAAATGCCAGACTTCCAGGGGTTATGTGGGCAAATCAGAGTTCAGGTGTCTGTCACCCGTGTAGGTTCAGGATTTGGAGCTGCCACTAAAGCAATGTGCATCGGGATGCGGTACTGGAAGCCAGAACGGCTGGAGACCCTGGTTGAAGTCAGCATTGAGTGTGGAAGAATGACCCACAACCATCCCACAGGTAAAGCAGGTGCTGGGGGCAGGGCAAGTCCTGTGGGGATGCATTCCACTTGAAAACAGAATTGCCATTATGTGTGGTGCTAACAAAGCCACACTAGGGGAAAATCCTCAAGGTTCCTATATCATTCATGTCGGAACAGAAGAGGGGAGGTGTAGATCTTGAGGGGAAACTGGGCTCCAGGCCAAGTGGGTGTCAACATCAGTCCTATGGGCTGCCACCCTTCTCCATGGCCTGGCCTGTGCCTCTCTGCTTAGTCTCCAGGTCCTGTAGAAGCCTGAAAGGGTAAATGTCTGGCCTCCTATATACAGACACACAGAGAGAGAGAGAGAGAGAAAGAGGGGGGGGGAGAGAGAGAGGCAGAGTTCACAGCTCTGGGGACAGTCTGTTTGGACTCAGGCAGCCACTGGCCCAGGTAACAGAGCTTTCTCTCTCTTTCTGCTGTCCTCCAGGTTTTCTTGGGTCCATGTGCACCGCTCTGTTTGCCTCTTATGCAGTACAAGGAAAGCCACTTGTACAATGGGGAAGAGATATGCTGAAGGTGGTCCCCCTGGCCGAGGAGTACTGTAGGAAGACCATCCGGCACATGGCAGGTGAGCCTGTCTTCCTGCCCTACTACTCTCCACTCACCCAAAGCACATGTGCTCACATTCCAACTCAAGTCCTACACCCGCCACCCAGCAACTCTAGGTGCTCACCCAAAGGCAATGCCTAGAGAAGTCCTTGGTCAGTATGGGAAGATCTGACTTCACAAAGTCCTCACCTGGCAGAGGGCAGACACCTGCTCCAAGTGGTACCAGGACCTCAAGGAGAACCACATGGGTGGCTTACTTCCCCAGTAGCCTAAGGTCTCTGAGACACCTACACCCTCCGCATCTCCAAGCTGACACCAAGTGTCTAGTGCTATAGAGAACCATCTCTGCGTTCATAGAGGAATAGATTGCACCTACATTTCGCACAGTCACACCCTAACCTTTACTTGACCAAAGAGATATATCCCCTGCCACACCCTTCCATCTGCACCAAGGTGGGTCCCCATGCCTCGAGTCCCCAGAGACCACAAGGTTTCCATCTGCCCTCATTAATCCAGAGCCTGTCACCCTTTGGACATGGTTAACCTGCTACTCAAAATCCCTGGGAACACTATGGGCTTCCAGTGTTCAGACACACAAGACCAAAATACACCTCACCCTCCCAGACCTGACTTGGGAGCGCTGTACAATAGACACAGACACAGAGACATAAATGCAGGACCAGAAAACTCAGGACTGGCTCCCCGAGTCAGGGAGGATATGGAAGACCCTCTTACCCCAGGGCTGCTCCCCCTCTAAGAGGGATGTGTGTGAGTGGAGAGTGTGGGCTGCACCATGTGTCTTTCATTGCACCTAAGTAGGAGCAGACTTTCTAAAACAAGCCATCCAGGATATCCAAAGAAGGAAGGATGTGAGCCCAAGGCTACTGTTTCTCCAAAACAGCATGAAGCTGAGTGTCATCAAAGTCACCACAAGATGGGGGATGGGGGGCAGGGAGGCTCCTGAGGATCTCCTGGGCAATTTTACAAGGATGCACAACACACAGGAGAACAACCACTGGCCTCAGCACTGGGGGAAATTGGTCCTAACAGACGGCGCTTGGCGTTGTAGCTAGCTCATCTCTGAACTGTCCATCCCCTGCTCACTTGGTCTCTGGGGGACATTTATTTCATTTATGTTTGCTTAGTTTAAGCCATCATTTGTAGAATTATGTTTCTTACATTTTTGCTTTTGGGGGACCCACCACCCAGCTCCCAGATAAATCACACACAGAAGCTTATTCTTAATTATGAGTGCCTGGCCTTAGCTTCGCTTGTTTCTAGTCAGATTTTCTTAAATTAAATTAATCCGCCTGCCTTTTCCCTTGGGGCTTCTATCTTTCTTACTTCTGTGTTGCTTACTTTTCTTCTCACTCCATGGCTGGCTGAGTGACAGGCCCCTGCTGTCCTCCTCTCCTTGTGTCTTGCTCTTTCTCGTCTCCTCATTTCTCCTATTTATCCTCTCTGCCTGCCAGCCCCGCCTATCCTTGCTCCTGCCTTGCTATTGGCCGTTCAGCTATTTATTAGGGCCATCAGGAGTTTTATACAAGGAAAGAATCACAGCCTCACCGAGTTAAACAAATGCAGCATAAACAAAAGTCACACCCCTTAACATTATATTCCCTGACAATCGTTCCCTGGTTCCTGTGTCTCAAATGGGCTCAGATGTCCCCTGAAGATCCCCCAATGCTGCCTACAGAGAGTGGACTGTTTCTCTCATCTGAGCAGAGTCACCAGATGCCTCCCAAGACTAGAAGGCAGTTGCTATGATAGAGTAAACCCTTGCAGTACAGCATCGAATTGCTAAGGGATACCCAGGAGTCCAGAACCTGGGTGGCTATTTTTGAAGCATGCCATCCATGGGGACATGAACCTGAAAACAGAGTTCACTGCCAGGTCATCTGGGGACTTAACTTTTTCTGGGAGGTGACCCCTGAGAAACAGTCCTGTTATATCTGTTTGATTTTTAAAGTTTGCTTAACTAGAGTTTTAGGAGCTCCTTAGACACAAGCTTTCAATAGAGTCTAAGCTCACCCAGAATAAGTTGTTCTGTTAGCATCCTTGGAGAGCGTACTCTGGAGCTCCCTCCCTGAAGACAGACCTAGCTGGTCCTGGGTTCTGGGTCTGGAAATCTGCCTTCCCCAGCTGCTCTCACCTGCTCCCTGGGTGGAGGTGGTGCTGGGGCCAGTGCTGCCCATGCAGGCATTTTGCCTTTAGTGGTATTCAGGTAGACATGCATTCAAGTATTCAGCTTTGTGAAGCCCAGTGGATCCCGAATCCCAGTGTGCAAGTCGGAGAAGCTGTCCCAGCACCTCTGATTTGCCTCTCTGCTGCAGCCTCTGTTCACCGCCCTGTAGCCATTTACTTGCAACTTGGGTTTCAGGCTATCAGTAATAATGAAACCTCTCTTCTTATTGTACAGGTCCAGCTTTAAGCTAATGAGAATACAGAATTCCCTGATGATTTTGCTTTGGATTTCTGGGTCTTTTTTGTTTGGGAAATTTTTCTTTGTTTCTCCTTTTCTTTCTTTCTTTCTTTCTTTTTTTTTTTTTTTTATTCAGTGTCTTATGCTTACCAGACAAGCACTCTTAACCCTGAACTACATTGCCACACCTAATTAATTAAAATCATAGGCTCATACTCATCCCATGATCACTCTCTGCCCCAGAGAGCAGATAACTCTGGCTTCTCCTAATCTTCTGTGCTGCTGATGGAAGCAGCCATACCTCTCAGGGCTGCTTATTTTGGGTACAGGTACTCTGTCCCCCCATACCCACAGCAGGGAGAAGGCACTGCCCACCTCTCCCACCCCCATGCCCACCTCCACCAGGCACCATCAGCCCATCTGCTCTGTGCTTGCACCTAGAGTACCAAGAGCACTGGTTTTACTTCGAAGCAAAATGGCAATTTTATCTGGAGGAAAGAAAAATCAGTGAGGACACAGAGAACAAAGCCACCTTCCCTGACAACTACGATGCTGAGGAGCGAGACAAAGTAAGTCTAGCCCCAGGCCTGGGATGGGCCTGAGCAAATGGAACTCAGCCAGCAGAGTGAGTGAGTGAGCAAGTGGGCGAGCAGCAGCCACAGGGACAGACTTGGGGCTTTTGCCAGACTTACATTGATCCATGGTTCTCTTCAGACATACAAGAAGTGGAGCTCAGAAGGCCGAGGGGGACGACGTGGCCACGATGCCCCCATGATAGCCTATGATGCCCTCCTTGCTGCAGGGAGCAACTGGACCGAACTGTGCCAGCGGGCCATGTTTCATGGAGGTAAGATGTCCTCCTCTGTGGTGGATACTCCCAGAGGGTACAGACCCTGTGCCCTGAAGCTCTTTAAGGTGTTTAGGGTCCACAGACATGGGGTTCAGCCACAGACCCAGAACACAGGCCCATCTCCATTGCTGGACACACTCTGGAGTCTCTGATTACAGCACACATACTAGCATCGGGGCCACAAACATGGCTGCAGTAACCTACTTTGGTATGGCCCACAAGCCTGCCAGTCTCACAGGGGACCACTGTCAGAGGGAACGGGACCAGGTGCAGGTGCAGGGACTCTTCCCTTCCCAGCTGCTCACTCAGATGGGTGGGTCTTCCTCCAGGCTCCTTCCCACTACAGTTCTGTAGCCACACATTTTACAGCCAGGTTCTGGGGGCTGGGTGAAAATCTTCTCTTCCTGAGTCCCACAGCTCCCTGGTGGCCCCACTCCCGGGGCTTGCCAAGTGTGAAAACAAGTGGTGAGACTAGATGTCTACTTTCCTGCCTAAGCAGGACTCCACAAATACAAGGCTCGCTAGTGTTTGCAGTCCTTCAACTAGGATAACCCAAGCCCACACTGCTGGAGCCATCTGTGAGCATCCGGAGGAGACAGGCTAGGAGGAGGGCAAAAGGGGTTGGGGTAAAATTGGTGGAGTCACTTCATATGGTCAGAACATCTTGTACAGACAGGGAGGTAAAATGCACACAATTACATCCCCTTGTCCTTGCAAACAGGGGTAGAGTGAACGCAGAGTATCTGGAATTCACTCACTTGAGGCACACTGTGAGACAAAGAGGGCTTGGCATGGCCAAGAGAGACAAGATGAACTTGCATGGCTGAGAGAATCTGCCAAGGAAGTCACTGCCCTTGCTGTTGCCACTGACCACTGTCCCAAAGCAGATGCATCTGGCTACAATTGGGTGTGTGGCCAGAGCCCTAAGCTGCCAATGGGAAGTTCTGTGTGGGACCAGAACTTTGTTCCACAAACCATGTTGTGTCCCTCGGTTTTCTCTCAGCTTTCCTCTGAGAATGAACAGATGGTATCAGAGCTATCCTGGAAGCAGGTTTTACTGGAAGGAGAGAAAGAACAGTTGTGGGAAGTCAGGCTAGAGTGGCTCTTTGCTGTAATGCTGTTCCTGGATATCTGTGTTCAGGCCTTTCCTGGGACCAGCCCCCAGGGCTCTAGGTATATCTATGCCAAGAACAACTTCCCTGACTCTCCCACTCCATCCACCATTGTGGTCCCAGCCTCATCCAATCATATCCTCTCTCTCTCCCTTCCTCTCTCTCTCTCTCTCTTTCTCTCTCTCTCTTTCTCTCTCTCTCTCTCTCTCTCTCTCTCACACACACACACACACACACACACCAGCAATCAATAAATAAATGTACTAAAAGTATTTTACAAACGGGAGAAGAAAGGGCAGTGTGGCTCAGCTGGTAGATTGCTGGCCTTACATGCACTAATCCCTCAAGTCAATCCCCAGCACCTCACAAACTGGGTGTGGTAGTAGCATATACCTGTATGGCCAGCATTAAGAAGGTACAGTCAAGACCATCAGGAGTTCAAGGCCAGCTTTTGCTCCATAGTGAGTTTCACACCCTGGGCTGTGAAAGACCCTGACTTGAAAACAATGGACTGGAGAATGGTCAGCAGTTAAGTGTGCTTGAGTTCAGCTCCTGACATCCATATAGTAGTAGCACACATCCATCGTGAATTGTAATTCCAGGGGCTTTGCACCCTCTTCTGGCTTCCACAGGCAACAGACACACATATGGTTCACATACATTCATGCATTCACACATTCATACAAAACACTCAAACACACAAAATAAAAACAAATATTAAAAAACCACAAGTGAAAGTGGCTGTGGGTGTGTTGACTGCCAAGCAGAGATGGAAAGGCAGAGAGCACACAGCTGTCAGACCTAGGCAGCGGCCCAGTGGGTTCTGCAGATTCAGTTTAAGGACAATTTTATGAGTATTTCAGAGGTAAGTAGCATATTATGGAGTAAGATAACTCTTTTCTCCTCCCAATCATGATGGGCCAGATCGCCCTTTTAGGAGATTTCTTCCCACAACCCACTAGAAAAGTCCAAAAAAAGGTAGATGAAAAGCACAGTATGATGAAGCCAAACTCACATGTGTGACAATTGGGAAAGTGCCCTGGTGCCTGCCTTTCTGATACAGAGGAACAAACTAACTGTATATTAAGTGTGCTTGACCACAATGAGGCTCTGACCATCAGGAGACAGCTACCGCATGCAGGCACATTTTCTTGACAAACTCAAGTTTAACTCCTTTATGAGATTGCTCGAAGTCCAAAGATGGATGCCATGGCTGTCGATCAGTTAAGGAACTCAAGGCTTTGTTATGGGAGCTGAGGCCAGGCCGTTTCAGACTTCCAGGCTGTACAAACAGGAACAGGGCCTGGGCTATCTGTTGATACTCCATTTTTGACTGCTCACGGCTATCTGCTACCTAATATCACTGGGTCGGTTTGTGGTGGCAAGATGTCACCTACATGGGAGAGAAGAGAAGCAGGAGCAGAGCAAAGAAGGGAGCAACGCTTAGAACTGTGGCTGCCTCAGTAGCTGGCAGCCAGGGTGCGGGGCAGCCCCATTTTTTTTGAGGTAGGGCACCGCAGCATGTCGCTGGCTGGCCTGATACTTCCTAGGCCAGGCAGGCCTTGAACATGAGTCAATACCTGCCTCAGCCTCTTGAGTACTAGGATTACAACTTGTCTACCACGACTAGGCCTGTCTTCTCCAGGATGTTCTCAGAGATATAGGGGGAGCAGGCTTAGTCAGTGGGGACACCCCACCCAGGACACACCTGTGTTTGCCATTTCAGGGGAGAGCGGAGCCACAGGGACAATCGCTGGCTGCCTGTTCGGGTTGCTGCATGGCCTGGCCACCGTTCCACGGGGCTTGTACCAGGAACTGGAGCACAAGGGCAGACTAGAGGACTTGGGCACAGCCCTGCACCGCCTGTCCACAGAAGAAAAGTAAAGTGTTTCTCTGCCATTTTCCCTCCCAGAGGGCAGCCCCGTAGTAGTGCCCACACTCAGATTTAGAGCCTTCCAGTAGAGGGTATACATGTGCAGTTTCCACTTAAGAAACACATGCCTCATGGGCCGTAATCCAACTGTAACTTCTCCCTCCAATTCCAAGCCCCGTTTGCTATATAAAATACATTGTTTGTCCTAAGAGAACATTGTTCCTTACCCTCGCTGAAGCCTGGTACACCGCTGCCAATGCTTCGTGTTTGCTGCTCGCAAACCAGATGCTTGGTGACAAACTGTCTCCTGGACAGTTGGTATATTTTCTTCTGCCCCAAAAACTGGGTGCTGCTTGTTCACCTATCGGAACTACACTAATAGCCGTGGCCCTCTAGCTGAGAACCTTCCTCAGTCTTTCCGCCTCCTAGCTATATATTTCTACCTGCTACCCGCTGGCACGATGCGGGGTGGGGCATCTCTCTTCAGCAGTCAGATGTGCTTGTGCCTCATAGTAGAGAGGCTTGGTGACTTCAAGATGTACCCAAGGCAGTCATTCAACCTCCTTGCCATTTTGTGTGTGTGTGTGTGTGTGTGTGTTTTGTTTTATTTTTATTTTTATTATTTTTATTTGCCTGTGTGAGAGTGTTGGATCCCCTGGAGTTACAGACAGTTGTGAGCTGCCATGTGGGTCCTGGGAATCGAACCTGGGTCTTCTGGAAGATCTGTCAGTGCTCTTAACCTCTGAGTCATCTCTCCAGCCCCTCCTTACCATGTTTTAGTCACTAAGCTTTTACTGAAATCTTTTTGAACAACTAACTGCCTGAGAAAGCCAGACAATTTCCTGTGTCGCATGATGCATCTTCCATGTAGGAGGAAGTCTTTAGCCACCCTATTCTGCTCCACAGAGACTCACCAGCAGGGGTTAGCTGGGAGTGTGGGGAAGGTGGTCACACGCTCCAATTCCAACCATGGCTTTTGATGTGGGTTTTTCTCTGTGGGCGTTGATGATAGCTGGCTGTGCTGGGCCTGGGCAGCACAGCTGGGCTGTCTTGGTGCTGCGTTCTTCTCACATGAGGCCTTGTCTCTAAGAGCCAACACTGTCTGCTAAGGGAAGCTGGCGGATCCGGGAAGCTCTGCATGGGGGTGGGGCTAGGGCAGAAAGCTTTCACCATTGGGTTCTGCAGGGCCTCTAGGATGCAAACTCTCCAGGGGCCTCAGGTGCTTCTGTCGGATGGTTGAACAGGATATGGTTCCCTTGTGATAAAATGTCCAGACAGACAGCAGGACAAGTGGCTGCAGACTTCATTAGCAAAGGTCACTGACACAGGATGTGTTGGGACCTCTGAAGTTGCTCCATCCCAGGTACCCTGTTCTCTTCTTTCTCGATCCTAGGGAACTGTCTGCTTATGCTTATAGATCACAATCTATTATTGAGGAAAGTCAAGGCAGGAACTCAGAGGCAGGAGCCATGGTGTAATTCAGCTTACTGACCTTCTCACTGGGTCACACTCAGCTAGCTTCCTATACAACCCAAGACCACCTGCCCAAGGGTGGCACCTCCTAGCACGCCCCTAATGCATCAATTATTAATCAAGAAATTGCTCCACAGGCATGCCCATAGTCCAGTCTGATTGAGGCAATCCCACAATTCAGACTCCCCCAGATAACACTGGGCTCTATAGCAGAAGTTGACAGCAGAAGCTAAATAGGAGACAGAGAAAACAATCCATAGAAGATGTGTCCTGATGAAGACATGTCCCCTTGTTGGGCACACAGCATCCTGACATGGATGTCTCATGCTGAGCTACAAGGAGAGACTACGGACAGGCAAATAGACAAGTTAGTACAGTGACTGCAAGGCAGCTTCAGTCACTATGGAGGGAATGCATACGAAGCAGCTTCTTCAGATGGGGGTAGGAAATGGTAGCATCATGGCCTGACAATTGGTAGAGACCACAACATATTTTATAAATTATGATTTGCCATGGCCCCTGTGTGCCCTGCAGTAGTGGTATGGTTCAGGATGTGGTGACCTAGCAGGTTAAGAAAGGAGTCTCTCTGATGGATAGTTGGTAGCTATTCTGAGCCCTGACGTTTATTTGAGCCCTCTCTTCTCCTGCAAGGAAACTGAGGCAGAGGTGCACTCTGCCAGAGGATGCTATGAGTCCAGCCATGCTGGCATAGCCTCTAACTGTGGGGCAGCACAGTGAGGTCCATCTACCCTGGCATAGCCCCTGAGCATGGGTAGCCCAATGAGGCTCAACTTACCATAGCTGATGAGGAACTGTGTGGTGATATTTTGTTTGTGCTCTAACAAATAAAGCTCGTCTGGAGATCAGAGTGCTGAGCTAGCCACTAGTTAGCCATAGAAGCCAGGCAGTGTTGGCACACACCTTTGATCCCAGCAGTTGGGATCGCATGCCTTTGATCTCAGTACTTGGGAGGCACACGCCTTTAATCCCAGCACTGGGGAGGAAGAAACAAGAAGTGATGTGGCTGGGCAAACAGAGGAATACAAGGCGGGAGGAGACAGGAGCCCACCCCCTTTTTCAGGCTGAGGAGATGTTGAGGTAAGAAGTGGCTGTGGCTTACTCCTTTGTCTCTCTGATCGTTCAGTGTTTACCCCTATATCTGACTCCAGGCTTTTATTATTAAAACCAATTAGATTCATGATGCAGAACTGGACTGACCCAAGACTGCATGGTTTCAAATAGGGATAGGCAGGGCTTGAGGTCTGCTGTCCACTTTCTTCAGTAGGAAGCTGCGATGGTGGCATTCCTTAGGGCTGATCAGCCTGGGTGTGTCCAGAGACAAATGTCCTGTCCTAAACGACCTTGCCTGCCTGCCACTGATGCCTAAATTAGGAAGGTTTATGGGCCCCCTGTTTGTGTTGGCCATGGAGGAGAAGACTGCGTTCCCTCCTGGGCCAGGCTCTACCAGCTCATCCAAGTACCTAAGAACGTGGAAAATGGGCTTAGTCATGTCTACATACGGCGGCTGAGTGAAGACTGTCTCACACAGGCCGTGCAAGGCCCCACAAGCTATCCTGGGGCTTCAGTGTGTGTGTGAGGATTCAGGGATGTTCTGGCATAGATTAGGCCAAGGGTGCCAGCAGCTCAGGCCTGGGGTGGGTGGGAGGAGACCACAAGAGATGGTGTGGCCTCGGGAAACAGCACAGAGAAATCCCCATAGGATTGTGGCAGAGGACACACAGCTAGGAAAGACACCTTGAAAGAAGCCCTGAAGTGACATGCAGAGGGTGAGCTGCAACATGCCAGTGTAGAGGGAAGCTACACCACTCAGGAGGAACAGATCTGTAAGGTTGGTGCCAGAGCAAGGAGAGCAGAGGGGTAGGAGGGCCGCCCCGTGTGCAGCTTACAGTTGCCACAGAGACAGGTGAGCCAGCTATTCACAGGGGCCATACTACTCCCACCACAGTCATCTGCCAAGGCTGTCCCTGGTTCTGGCAAGAGTGTGAGCACTGGAAAGAAAACAAACATCTACCCACGTGAGGCCACGTGCAGCAGGGGGCTGTGGGCCCAAACAGAATGGCTCTTAAAATTGAAGTAGGAACTCAAAGCGGTCACACGGTAACTGGCTGCCCGATGGTGTGCTGGGAGCAGCCATGGGCTATGAGCCTGCAATTGCCCTGACAAGGGCACAATGATGCTGTGTCCCCAGGCACTGGCACTGGCACTGGCTGTTTCAAGAACAGAGTGCCTCAGGCAGATGCACTAAAGCAAAGATATCGAGATGAGACCAGGCCAGAACCCATTTCCCGAGGCTTACTTCATCTTGAGTCTGGCAGGAGTTTGAAGTACATGAAAGACTGGGCCTAAAGATCAGAGGGTGTGTCCTGGAAGAGGACAGAAGCTCACTCACAGCCACAGTGCATGGCCTGGGGGATGATAAGAGCAAAGATCCACACAAAGGAGGGAATTCTGGTTCATAATGATGGTCAAACACAATTTTGACTCATTGGAGTGAGCTGTGAAAACCCCCTTTACTCAGCACTTACAGTACAGAAATCTTCTGCTGTAGGGCCAGGGTGTGACAGGGCCAGGTGTGACAGTGCCAGGTGTGACAGGGCCAGGTGTGACAGTGCCAGGTGTGACAGGACCAGGTGTGACAGGGCCAGGTGTGACAGGGCCAGGTGTGACAGGACCAGGTGTGACAGGGCCAGGTGTGACAGGGCCAGGTGTGACAGGACCAGGTATGACAGGACCAGGTGTGACAGGACCAGGTGTGACAGGACCAGGTGTGACAGGGCCAGGTGTATGACAGGGCCAGGTGTATGACAGGACCAGATGTATGACAGGACCAGATGTGACAGGACCAGGTGTGATGGGACCAAGTGTGACAGGGCCAGGTGTGACAGGACCAGGTGTGACAGGACCAGGTGTGACAGGACCAGGTGTGACAGGACCAGGTATGACAGGGCCAGGTTATGACAGGGCCAGATGTGACAGGACCAGGTGTGACAGGACCAGGTGTGACAGGACCAGATGTGACAGGACCAAGTGTGACAGGACCTGGTGTGACAGGGCCATGGTGTGACAGGGCCAGGTGTGACAGGGCCATGGTGTGACAGGGCCATGGTGTGAAAGGACCAAGCATGGCCCACTAGGAAAGAACTGAAGTCCCTAATCTGCTAATCCTGGCCCATAACTCTTAGGAAAGTGTCTGCCCTGACTGAACTATCTGAGATGATCATGGGAGCTTTGGGGTAACTTTCTGAAATTCCATCTGGGGCCGCTTGCTAAATCCCCTTTCCGTGTCTGCCAAAGAAGTCAAACTGAAGGCGGCAAGCGGCCTCAGTGCTGGTCCCTGGTGATGGGCAGGTGGTGAGCTGCTGGACAACACTTTGGCAACATGCTAGCTTCTAACTGATTATGAGCTGACATGTGATGCGGTGTGGCTTTGGTCCAGACAGCAGGATGTGTTTAGAAACAACAAATCTCTTGATCTGAGACACTCAGCAAGCCTCCCTCAAAGTGTCCTGCTCACACACTGCCCAGAGCAGAAGGCGCTGTGGAATCCTGGCATGGGATGTGTGGAGAGGTCAGGCTGTCTCTTCTGTGGTGGGAGAAGGGGGACAGTTAATGCCCCTGTTTTCTCATTTCTCCCTTTAGACCACAGGCTCAGGAGGCCCCAGAGAGGAACTTGGGAATGACACTCAATGTCCTGCATGTTGGGCTCGTGGCCGTTAGTCAGTGGGTCAGAGTACCTCACTATATGTCATCCCTATGGTTATTTCAGTCGTCCTAATGACTCACCTGAAGTCATTAAGACAGCTGAAATAGTCTAGCCAGCCTCACAAGCTGTGTGACCACAAAGATCCAAGAGGTACCAGGGCCTTTGAGCCTCCTCATATCGCCTGAGCCAGGTGAGTCTGTCCACATCCCAGGCCTGGGGAGCAAGACCTTCCTATCCCCACAAGCTCGGTGACTCCTAGGAACTCACACAAGGAGGCTGTGGTGGCTTGGTGGGGGCACTTAGTTGGGAGCTGGTGTCAATAATTGTCAGTAATTCCATATGGAGACTGTAGAGTGAAGTAAGTATAGGTCAGTCCAGACCCCACTTGAGATTGTATGTGCAGATATTCATGATGGAATTAATGGTGGACACATCCTGAAACCAGACCCACAAAGGATGGTGGCAGCAGCAAGGATACACAGGAAGAGTGTGACTGTACCCAATCTAGAGCAGTATGGATCAGAGATGGTGTCCTCTGGGCAGCACAAAGATTAGCCAAGGAGAGCAGAGGCTGCTGGATGTGGCTGGCAGAGGATGATTCTGGTCATGTGGCCATCAAGAGCATGGACACTGTCAGGCTGTCAGGTTCAGTTGTGTGCGTGTGAGGCAGGCAAGCCTTCAAGAGGGGCCGGGAATGTTTCCTGGGGCCAGTGACAGTCTGACCTGTCTTAAAGCTGTAGGGCCCTGTGGCTATAGGGGGTGTAGGCTAGGAAAGATCCTGTGTGTCCCAGGGGAAGGTTAATAGAAGAATTTGAGGTGTAAGGGCTTAGTTCATGAGCATGCAATGTGCCAGTGAGACCCAAGATATCCAGACAGAAGCTTGTATCTAAGCAGCTGCCAAAGGCCAACCCCAAGATGTAGAAATTAATGGCCACCAGTTCCAAGATGCCCTGGAAAAGGAAAAGATGCCACCCGGGACCAAAACCAACCCACTTCCAAGACAGTACCATCTTACCTCAGAGGCAGGAAATCTGGGACCCCTCACATCTGTGCAACTGTGCATAGATTTTTCTCAAGCCCAGCTGCGACACATAGCCAGCCCCACCCCCACACCATTCCCTCCGCAGCTGTGAAGACGAGCTGGTGGTTTTACAGGATGCACAAACCCCTAAGAATCACTCAGCTGATACTGCCCCCAGGGTGCTGACCACCCTCAGGTGAAAGGAGGTCTCTCTCTACTCAGGGCAGCTTCCACGGGTGAGAGATAAGTCTGGAGAGACATGTCCACAGGCCATCTGGATGGGAGACAGTTCAGGCGGCAGGACTGTGAAAACCAGTTGTCACAGGTTAAGCCTGAGCTCTGAGTCTGCTGGCTTCTCAACTCTGAAGCAGACCAATGGTGTGTCTTTCCACTCGGGGGCCCAAGGGAGTGTTGGGGCTGCCCCAGGATTGGTTTACTCTTGCAAGGACGCAGAGCAGCCACTTCCCAGTGGGCAGGATTGGCCTCCATGTCCCGATTACTCAGAACAATGGCGTTCTTAGTGGTGGACAGCACAGCTGCTGCTTGGTTTAGTTATTTTTACACCGTGGTCATTGCTGTGCACCGTGCTTGCTCATGCCCCGCCAAGGCTTTTCAAGTACTCACGATGCAGCTCCTGTTAATACCCCTATTTGTATGCCAGCTCTCTGAGTGAGCTGGTCTCAGGTGTGGACAGACCTCCTTGTCCCTGGTTAGTATTCAGGGCCAGCACCAGCCCAAAGGCGCAATACGTCCTAACTCCAAGACCCAGTCCTAGGGGTCCTCCAGGGGCTCTCATGCTGTCTTAGTTTGGGCGGCTATCACTGTCATGAAATAAACCTGACCAAAACAATTTGGGAAGGAAAGGGTTTATTAGGCCCACACTTCCACATCACTATTCATTGTCAAAGGAAGTCAAGACAGATACTCAAACAGGGCAGGAACCTGGATGCAAGAGCTTATGTAGAGGCCATGGAGGGGTCACTACTGGTGCAGCTCCTCATGGCTTGCTTAGCCTGCTTTGTTTGTTTGTTTGTTTGTTTTTAGAGATAGGGTTTCTCTGTAGCTTTGAAGCCTGTCCAGAGCTCACTCTGTAGAACAGGCTGACTGAACTCAGAGATCCACCTGTCTCTGCCTCCTGAGTGCCACCACTGCCCCTGCCTGCTTTTTTTAGAACTCAGGAACACCAGCCCAGGGGTGGCACCATTCACAATGGGCTTGGCTTTTTCCCATTAATCACTAATTAGGAAAATGCCCTATGGATTTGTCTACCTACAGCCATTGCTATTCAACTGCAGTTCCCTTCTATCAGCTGTGTCAAGTTGACATAAACCTAACCAGGATAAGAGTAATCTTATGAAAATGACAGTAAAATATGTGACCATTGTAGGTTTTCTGTTTGTTTTCCTACAGCTCCAAGAACAGCAAGATTTTCCGTGAGAAGATGGCCATCGATGCACAGACCTTGAAGAAAAAGATCAGCAGGACATGTGACGAGGCAACCCGCACTCTCCTCAACAGCCTCCTGCTTTATGTCTTGGACCGTGCAGATGGGTCCCAGAAGGCAGAAGACAGAGTAAGTAGGGCCATCCACCCATCCCAACACCAGGACGTGGGTCGGAGACCCACACGTTTCCAGCTTCTCCAGGCTAAGTTCATGGGCACTGGGCGGGAGCCCCACCTCAAGAAGACCCGGGAAGTGGGCCGGCTGATTTCCAAGGACAAGCAAGGACCTGGTAGGAGTTTTGTAAATGCGACTATCAACAAGCTCCTAGAGAAGACTAAGGAAGGAGCCAGCCGTGCCGGCCAGAGGACCCCAGCCAATGAGAAGCCCCGGTGGAGTCCCACAGGTGGGAAGAGCAATGTGAAAAACATCCTGAAGAAGTTCTTGGCTGCAGAAGAGAAGGCAGCTAAGGAGAAAGAAGCCTGTGAGAAACCTCCTGCTCCTCGGCCTGGAGCTGCCAGGGGCCTCCTGCCAAGAATTGTGGGCCGGAACTCCATCCTCTCCAAGCTGAGAGAAAGATTTGAACAGAGTGGCTGCCTGCACTCAGAAGCTGGAGTGTTGCCCCTGCACAGGGAAGGACGGAAGAGCAAGGGCCTACAGAAGAAGAAAGTGCACAGGCCACAAGTACGGGTACTCCACATAGCTACCATGGCCACCAGTTGTACTAGGACTCCCCCTGCCCGATTTCTGGCCTGCACAGCCGAGCCCCTGCCAGCCCTCAGCATTGCCACCATTGTCTGTGGCCCCCAGAGCTGGTTGTCCCATTGTGCAAAACTTAGTCACTCAGAGTCCAGACGCTGGCCCATTGGAGAAACCAGAACGTCTTCCAGCTCAGAAAACCTGGAACCCGAAGGAAACAAATCAGAAGGACTCATGAATGAGGGCCACAAGGAACAAGTGCAGTCCTCAGTGTCCCAGGCAGTGGCTCATGTGGATGGTCACATGGCTGTGGACATGGGTTTCTCTGGAATGTCTACCAAAGGCCAAGCCCTGCCTGGCCATGTACCACTGTTGTACCCACTTGGACTGGACAGCCCCAGAGATACTGGGCTAGTCGGAAAGGACAGGACAGCAGAGCCCAATACACAAGAGGCGGCAGCTGACACCCAGGAAGAGAAGGAAAATGCAAGGGGGGTCCCTAAAATCACCATGACTGTGTGCAGTTCTGAGGATGAAGCAGAAAGGACACCTTCAGGCTCAGAAAGAGAGCCCTTCTTTGCCTTCCAGTGGCACCTGCCAGAGCAGGAGGCAGTGTCACAGGTCCCCCTCCTAGCCCCTTTAGCAGTCCAGGCTGAGCGGCGAGCACAGCCCGCCATCAAGCCTCCAAAAATAACAGTGCAGCTTCCCATTGTTCACGAAATGCCTGCCTGTCCCAGCCCTCTGCGGCATGCAACAAGTCATGAAGACAAACCTTCCCAACTTTCAGGAAGACAGGATGTGACTGAAAATAAACAAGCAGGGTTTTCCACTGTGAATGAGGATGGGAGGGGTTGCCAAGCCCCAACAATACTGAGTAAACCTCGTGGGATGCCAGTGAGCCTCCAGCCTGTGGCAGCAGACGGACTCCGGGAAGACATGAGAGATGACGCTCAGGTGGATGGTGATGCCTCACAGACGTTCCTAATTCCATTTCCTTCAAAGACTGTTCCTGGTGGGCTAGAGAAAGAACACAGCCTTGAGGACTCATGTGACATCAGGAACTGCATTGGCACTGGGGGAGAGCACATCTCTGACCTCAACTGGGAAAGGCACCTATGTCCAGAGTCAAACAAAGCCCCTACACCTAGCAATGGCACCTCAAGTTATCCCAATGTTGGGAGATGCCATGCAGGAGTGGGCACCAGCTTGGCCACTGACCTCCAGCAAGGGATATCCCCCACAGCGCCGGTGCCACCCCAGGGCTGCATAAGGTCTATGGGTCCTATAGCATCAGGCAAGAACATCCAGTTTGGGCAGGAAGAGTGCAAACGGACCCTGAACGAATCAGCTTCACCCCCAAGCACTGCTCAGGAAAATGTCAGCCATGATTTGGGCAATAGCAGCCAGCCCACATTAGATAAACAGCCTACTACAGGTATCAAAGCTTCTGGAGAGGTGACAACTATAGGGGCTGTCACTGGCCTCACAATGCCACAGCCAAGTAGTACCCAGAACCCTGAATCCAAGATAATGGCATGGCCAGCTGGTACTCGGGACATCGAACACAAGATAATGCCACAAACAGGTGATTCCAAGGATGCTGGGCACAAGAAAATGCCACAGACAAGTGGTGTCCATGATGTCAAAGACAAGCAGATGTCATGGGCAAGCGGCACCCAGAACAATGCATGCAAAATGCCTCATGATTCCCAGGATGTTGAACCCAAAATAACACCACATCTAGGTACTTCCCAAGAGCCTAAACACAAGACAGCACTGTGGCCAAGTGGCACCCAGGACGTTGAACACAAGACAACACCTCAGCAAGATAGTACCCAAGACACTAAACAAGTGACACAATGGCCAGGTGGTACCCAGGATAATGAACAAAAGATAATACCACAGCCACATGCTCAGGACCCTGAGCATAAGGTGGTGTCACAGACAGGTGATGCCCAAAACCCTAGACAAAAGGCAACATCGCAGCCAGGCAGTACCCAGGGTACTAAACACAAGACAGTGCCACAAGCATGTGGTACCCAAGACAATGAGCACAAGATGACAGCACAGGTCAGTGATGGCCAGGATGGTGAACAAAGGCCCAAAAACAAGACAACGCCACGGTCAAGTAGTGTCTCGGACTACAAAGACAAGAAAACACAAAAACCCAGAAGCCATCCTTTGGTGTCAAGCAGGTCCCCGAAGGGCGAGAGTAGAGCCACTGAAGGAAGCATCTCAGAAGACCTGGTGCAGAGCCGTGTCCTGATGTCGGCAGCCCCAACTGTTCAGCTAGGGGAAGCTGCAGATTCTTGCCCAGGGCTTGTCAAGTCTCCAGTATGTTTTTCAAGTGAGCCAGCACTGAGAAGCAGTTCAGGAACAGAGGACAAAATTACAGCCATGGAGAGCATGGCATCCCCAAGGCCACAAAAGTACCCAGCAGAGTATCCGAGCCACTCACAACTGCCTTCTGTGGGCCAACAGGCACTGGACAGAAAGTACCCTGAGAGAGAACAACACTTCCCTGCAGCACACTCCCCTACGTATCCTCTAAGGCCAGCCACAAAGGGGAGGACCAGGCAGGTGGAGCCAGCCTATGATTCAGAACCTCCTATCCCCACACAGAAGGCAGAGCCCAGGTGTGTCCCCCAGGCAAAAAGCTTGGGGAATAAAGCCAAAGAGAGTCTCCCAACCCAGGGAGACATGGGCAGGCCACAGAGTCAAACTGGATCAGAGGAAACTGGTTCAGGATATGCAAGATTACACCAAACTGGACAGTTAGACGTGCTGTGTGTGGCAGAGCCTCAGGTGTGGGCTTCTCGGGACCTCACAGTGAACGAAAAGATGCCAGTGGAAGAGACTCCCTACCAGCACAGGGACAGGGGTCAGGAGCATCTCCTGAGGCCACTGGGGAAGCAGGAAAGGAGCCCAACTGAAAGAGACAGCCTTCAGGATGACGATAAGATAGCCACCCCTGGGAACCCAAGGAAGCCTTGTGGCCTGGCTATGCCTCAGGGAGAGGCCAGCCACCCATTACCTCCAGCCTGGGGACAACCTGACAGCACAACTGAAAAGGGACCCCCTGCTGGCACAGGCGGGGAGCCTCCAAGTCTGAGCCCCATACTTGGCAGTCAGCGGAGCCTGGGTGCCCTGCATCTGCCCCAAGGCCAGTCCCTGGCTAGAAGCAGGACCACAGTCTGCTCCCTCCACACAGCAGCTGACCCTCCCTCCCTCACACCTAATGCTGGGGATCACCTGCTCTTCCAAACCCTTGCCCAGGATGGGCCCACAAATGCCCCTAGGGCAGAAAAGGACCTACCAGACCATAGACACCGCAGGTCGGTGCACTTAGCAAAATACCTTGCCCAAAGCTTCAGTGACCAGAAAGCCTTCGAGCTGTCCTTTAGGCCCACAGTCCTCAGGGCCGGTGATACCTTTGAGCCCCCGAAGTGAGAACTCACTTTGAGCCAACAGGCTTGTCTCCAGATGAACATGACTTTGAGCATGCCCTACAGAGAGGACATAGCTGTTAGCATCCCTCCCTTCCCCCCACTTCACATGAACTACTCCTGGGATGCACATGGGAGGCGCCTGCCCCTGTTCAAAGCAACTGTGAGGCTTCTTAAGATGAGGAAGAAGTCGGATACCCAAGGCTGCTGGCTGTGGCTCGTTTCTTTCATGAGTGATGTGTGACCGGCTCTGTGACGTGGAGGACACAGCCCACTCACTCCCGTCTTGGCAGAGGAGAGATCAGAGCCATGGTCTGTCCTCTGGTCCCCAAAGCTTCCCAATGCCCCCACACACACTCCCCAAAGTCAGTGCCTGTAACTTATGACCTGCAACCTGAACCTTACCTGTGTGGGAAATGCCATGAGTGCCTAAGCCATGTTCCACTTCTAAGCTGGTACCAGAGTCTTGCCGATCACAGCAGGCAGAACCTTGGGGTCACAGACTGATGGACTGGCTTATCCCTTCGGCTAACATCAGGAGAGGAGACCACAAGGAGCCAATGGGGGCTTCCCCAATGTTGATTTGGGGCACACGATTTCATGAATGCTTTTGTTTAGAACTGGGTGGTAATTTAAAAAAAGGACTGTCACTTCTATGTCACCACCTAGCACCCCTAGTGGCAGCTCTCCCACCCCGCCAGTGGCCACGCTGCATGGGATTCCACTTTTCAACTGCTGACTGCATTTCTATCTCTCTCTCTTTCTTTTTTCTTTTTGTTTTGTTTTTTTTTTTTTTTTTTTTTTTTTTTTTTTGTGGGGAGGGGTTGGTTTTGGGTTTTTAGAGACAGGGTTTCTCTGTGTAGCTTTGGAGTCTGCTGTCCTGGAACTTGCTCTGTAGACCAGGCTGGCTTCGAACTCATGGAGATCTGCCTGCCTCTGCCTCCCGAAGTATATGAGGATGGTGACAGTCAGTTGGTGCAACACCGCCCAGGATCGTTTCATTAACAGATAATCTCCAGACTGCCCCTTGGCGTTTCTGTGTACACATCTGAGCGTCTGCCCCTCCTCAAGCTCTGGTTATCACGCTCCACAACAACAGTGAAGAGCTGAGGTGGTGATCAGCATCCTAGGATGCTCTCCTTCGGGTGGTGATTTCCTCAGCTCCTGCCCTTTGGAGACTCACTGTTTGCTTTCCCCACAACTAGAAATTTCCTAAAATGCTCTTTCTGCTCTGGAGACAGCCCTCTACCCTCTGGGACTTCCTTTGTTTTCTAACTCAAATATCCACAAGAATGTCCTGTCCTGCCCTGCCCCTGAGGAGGCTGACTATGGGTGTCCTCACCCCAGCTCAGGACACCTGAGTGAACAAATGGGACATTGCACAGTAACCTGAGCTCCTGATCAAGCAGGAAGCACAAGGTTTTTGTGTATCGAGCTCAGTGCTCCCTCTGCAGGAGGCAGGGGTCCTCACTCATCTTGAGCCTTTGCTGACATTGGTGGGGGTGGTGGTGGTGTTATGTGAACTTCCTGAACACTGCCCCTTGTGTTCCACCCTGGGTCATCTCCTGTATCCTGGGGTCCTGAGGAGATAGATGCTTTGGTTTTTGTTTTTCAAGCCCAGTCAATACTGAGGGTACAAAGGAGTCTCTGTGCAGTGATTCCCTGTCCTACCCAGAGTCTCTATGAAGCCAGCTCCTAGGGACTATGAGACAGGAGGGTAGGCAGAGCTCCTATGGGCTTTTTCACAGTTATCAACAAGATCTACTCACACCACTGACGGTGGAGTTAGAAAGTGGCTGCAGCCCTTAAATGCCCAGGTATGGCTCTCTCCCTCCAGACAGGTGCAAAACTAGTTTGTTTTCTTTCTTTATAGACTTTGTTCCACAAAGGACGTGAGACAATATTTGATAAAACACATGAGAGACAGAGGCAATAAACATTGCGTGCTAATGGGCATCCCTTTAAAAACCACCAGTAATAGGACTTTGATGAAGGGTTTTGTTCATTTGTTTGTTTTAAAGTTGGAGTAATTTTGCAAAAAAAAAAAAAAAAAACCCTCAAGATTTTTTTCTGCTGCTATTTTTAAACAAGCCTGAAAGTTGTGACGCACGAGCAAGTAAAGTCGTACAACAGGACCCTTGCCAGTAGCACAGGATGGTCAGCCTGTCCCTGATGGTCACACAGCCACTGTGACATCGCCTGTGCCTTTAGACTTGAGGGAGACACAGCTCTGCCCAGTGTTCAGGAAGACTGTGAGTGATTTGATACAGCTCTAATGGAAATGAGGGCAAGTCCCTATTGCCAAGTCTAAATCAGTCAGCCGGCTGCTCAATGCAATATCTGTCAGGCAGACGGTTGGTTATCTGAGATGGGGAAAACCTGCAGCACTCCTGGGTGGAAACAGCTGATGCCTAAGGTGGTGTGCAGACCATCCCCCATAAGATCCAAAATTTAAAAGCCACTCATTTCAGCTCCTAATTCATCGGGTCACTTAAGGTGCAGGAGCCACTGGCTCACTCACACCCTGCTGCAGGCTTTCAAGGCTTTTACTGACCTGCAGCCCAGGGAGGATAGCTGGTGAGTGAGCTCTTCAGTGTGCTATGCAGCCTGCCAGGAGATGCTGTACACTGTAAGACACTCACTCAGGACTGTCACCCTCAGAATTAGGCAGAATCAACACCATTCATTCTTGTAAGCAAATGTCATTTTAGTGCTGTGTCAACCCATAACTACCTATTAAGTTTTGTTTCTATCCTTTGTATATAAAAACTCTAAAATGGAATAGTAAGGAAAAACATTTTGTTATATTGTTTCCTTTGAGTCTGTACTAACCTTGTATAGCTGGAATTTTGTAAAAGGTAATAAATTATATTTCCAATTATAAATCTCTTATCTGTGGGAAACAAGATCCTCACTCTGTAATAACAAATTTGAGACTAGAGAAAGTGAAAGGCTTTTGTTTTGTTATTTCTGTTGTAACCCTGGCTGTCTTGGAACTCACTCTGCAGATCAGGTTGGTCTCGAACACAGAGATCCACCTGCCTCTGCCTCCTGAGTGCTGGGATTAAAGGTGTCCGCCACCACCACCACCTGACGAGAAAATTAAAGTTTTAAACTCTGTATAAAGGGACACTGGCATACCGGGGGGGGGGGGGAATGACAAGTATGGATTTGGCACAAGATTGATATTTTTAAGCCCCAGATCATGGTAAATTCCTGTTCTTTTCCCTTATACTGGCACTCCAGGTGGGGGTCATTCAGACAACCCTAGCATAACCTATTGGTTCAGGACACAGAGCCTTATCTAATGAATGTTCTGAGGACTTGAGATCTCTCTTTCCTCACAGTGGGCCCAGTAGCCTAGTAGACTGGCTGCAACCTTCTAATTCTCAGGGTTCTGAGACAAGCAGGCACCTTCAGTCAGGGGAGAGAGGCCTCAGCTTCCTCCTGCCAATCTATGAATCTTTGATGAACTCTACAAACACCAAGTACTAAAAGTGGACCATAGCAATTATAGTTCTTACTATCTTTGGGTGTGCTGCACAAGGGAAGCAGGCATGGCATAGGAAATGGCCATGAAGGGAGGAGAAAACTCAGTATGGCAAAGCCTGGGCCATGCATGGCATGAAGGACTCCATGATATATCGGCCCCAGACCAGCAGGTGATGGAGGCTCTGTCCAGAGGTGACATGTGTGGGAAGAGAAGTCCTCAGCGTGTTCTGAGGGGAAAAGAGCAACACCATGCCAGGATCTTCCCTGGGCCTGTGTAGAGAGCTCATATGGCTGCTCTGCAGGCATCTGACTGATTGATGCCTGCAAGGAAATTGTGGGGAGACAGGAAGCTTCTCCTACTGCTGGTCTGTTTGAACATGCCTAGAATGGGGAGTGAGGATTGAGAAAAGAAAGAGACAGAAGATAGAGTCAGGAGGGCTCTCAGTAAATACTGCAGCAGCCTCAGATTTTATTTTTATACGCTTTTTATACCCAAAGTAAAAGGGAAGAACAAAAGACTTCCTTACCATGATACAAGGAAGAAACAAGTGTAATTACTTCCTTAATTCTCAAAGCATTCAGTAGCCACACCCTTTGCTAAACAATCCCACACCATTTGGCCTTGAGGAGTAAAACATCTAGTAACCACACCTTAGATCAAACATCCTATTATCTGGTCTTGAGAATCATTAATAGGTTTGACCTCTCTGACGTTAAGTCTTGAATGGAGTCAAATCTGTGGGACCCACACTTCAGCACTTGACATTGGCAGCAGACAGGACTAGAAGAAGAAACCCTGTGTGGGTGCCAGAGTCCCTTGTCCCCAGGGTGACAAATGTTAACAGCTCTTGGCCCTACCTAGGGTATAAACCTTTAGCTCTACAAGAATGATAGGTCTTGTATCGCTGCGAAAAGTCTCGATCCCTCAGCCCTTGGCAGCGACTAGCATCAAAGCTCCTGGGCCTGTGTATCAGGACCCTGTTGTTGCTGCTGCTGCCACTGATGTTATAGCGCTACCCCTTATACAGTTGTCTAAGCAAATGTCACTGTTCTGGGCCTGTGGTCACCGATCTTTCTGCAGTTGCTTCTTTCTTCCTCTCTTAGCTCAGCCAACTCTATTAAATGCAAACAGGACCACGTATCAAAAGCATTTTATTAAGCCTAAATTTGCATCTCCAGGGAATTCACTTAGGAAGCTACCTCCCAGCCTGCTTAGATAGCCAAGGAAAGGGCATCTGTACTCCTATGAAAAGAACAGTATTTGAGACAGTTGTAGCATGGCCCCTCATGTAAATGAGAACATACACCTGGACCAATCACAGCAGTCCTCCCATGCAAACAAGGGAGAGTTTCACCAGTCACAGGCCTGCTGTACCAGCAGAGGTGCTCCTTCTCTGGTGTAGGTTAGAGAGGCTGCAGAATTCCCTTAGAATGGCATAAAGTCTGTCACAGATAGAACAGTTGGAGTTGAGGCTGTTGTCTTCAGGAGCATGAAGTTGTACCTCAGCCGAAAGCATCTGTGAGAGTCGCATGGCCTCCTCCAGCCTTCTTTGGAGTGCTTAAAGCAGCTGGTACTGCATAAGGAAAACCCAGCTGGCTATGCAACTGACACTGCCTTCCTCAATTTAGCCAGGGAACAGCTGTCAACAGGG